GAGATAATGAACTAAGCGAAAGTCGGAAGCTAAACAGAATAAGCCACCCAGGCGCCCCAACCAGAATGTTTATATATTAACGTAGAGTGAGAAATATAATAAACAAAGTCACCAGAATTCTCTTGTTGGCCGCTTGGGAAATCTGCTCCTCACCGTTCATCTGGCCGCTGATTGTCCTTGTTCTTTTCTTCTTCCCTGTGCCATAAAGATCATTATCCTGCATTTGGAAGGAATTGCTTTGTCACTTAAGTTTCAGATTTTTTAAGAAATTCCCTGGTGTAGGCTGAACATTGTTCTGAATTTCGTTTCCATCAGTAACACACTGATAGGTCTTCTCCCGACTAGAAGTTACATCCTTGGATGACTACTTCAGTGTAGTAAATACTGCATTTACTGTCTTTTATTTCAGAGGGTGACACTTTTCTGACCTTTTCCTGAAATTCTGGGGGTGTCATACGGTAGGCCTTGCTATGCGATCACACCCTATGTTCTAAAGTAGACTACTTGCTGCTCCCTGATTACATCCCTCCCCTGTAACGATTTTGTTTTTTCCTCATGCCCGTTCCTCTGTCTGGATTGTTGAAATCCCACCACTTTGTGAAGTTCTGCCTTGAATGCCACCCTTCTTGATTCTTCAAACCTGATGTGGTTTTCCTCCTTTGAAATATATCCCTTTTCTGTGGCGCTGTCTTATCCCACTCTCTATTAAGGTTACTTTTTAAAAAAAATTATTTCTGAGAGAGAGAGACAGAGACAGAGAGACAGAGAGAGAGAGAGAGAAGGGGAGGGTCAGAGAGAGAGGAAGACACAGAATCTGAAGCTGGCTCCAGGCTCTGAGCTGTCAGCACAGAGCCCAACGTGGGGCTTGAACCCACGAACCGTGAGATCATGACCTGAGCCAAAGTCGGATGCTTAACAGACTGAGCCACCCAGGCGCCCCTAAGGTTATTTGTTTTATCTTCCCCATGAGGGCAGCTTCAGATACTGTGTATCACTTGCCTTTTGTTTGCTGCAGTTCCTGGTATAGTTAGTAGGTGCTCATAGATTGCTTGCTGAATTGAATTAAATGAAATTTTAACTCTAGACCAGGTCTCAAAATGTGATCCTTGGGCCAACATCAGCATCACCTGCCCAGTATGTTAGACGTACTAATTCTTGGTCCCCACTCTAAACCTACTGGCTCAGAACCCCTGGGGTTGGGTACCAGCCATCAGTTGTTTAACAAACCCTGTGTGTCAAGCCTGAGAACTATTGCTGTAGTCTTTCTAAAGAGGCATTATCCAGCCTCTTTATCAAGAGCTGGGTTTTCCATTGATAGGAAATACAATGGATTTTCAGATTGTGCTCAGTTGAGCCATGGGAAGTCCATGGTGGTGACTTGGTGCAGAGTGGGGAGAGGACTCGGTATCTAGATTCGCTACCACCTTTTTAGCCACAGTAAGTTTGCTTTTACCTTTTTTATGCACTGCTGTGCCATCTCAACATTCCTTGCACCAGAGTTCCATGTGAAAAAAAGTTTGAACATTATTGATCTAAATTAGAGGTCATTAAACATTTTGTAAATAAAGTTTGATGGGAACACAGCTATATCCATTTGCTTACACATTGCCTATGGCTGTTTTCATGCTACATGGCAGAGTTGAGTAGTATGAGTAGTGCTCATGACCCACACGCTTCAAATATGTACTCTCTGACCCTTTAAGAAAAAGCTTGCTAATCCCAGATCTAAATCAATCAGAACCTTGCAGTAAGGAGCTGAACATCCCTGACTAGCACTAAACCCATAATCATTACGCTATAGAAGAAAAATCACCCCATGTCTTCTAGAAAATGAGGACATGGTCAAAGAGTGTTTACAGCGGACAAAAAGATGTGAAGGTCAATGAGAGCACATTTTCTTAGCTATCTCATTTGCTCCTGAAATCCTGAATGTATTCAAGGAAATTAGAGTCATTTACTCTTCACAGTCACGCTAATGAAGTCAAGAGTTTTGTGTTACATTTGACATGTGAAATACTTAAAGATAGCCATAAAGAAGCTGAAATAAAAATTCTTTTGATGAAAAGTTTTAGCTATTTGGGAAAATTTTTTATTGGACATTTTCACAATTTTAAGAAAGTTTTAAAGTTTCTTTTTTCCTAAACCAATTATGTGCATCACCGTCTTGTGTAATTATTGAATTTGTTAGGAATCTAAATGCATACGTTTATGTTTTGCTCAGTATCCTGGAACCTTTCTGTAATGAAGGAAGTGACACATTGACCCTCTTCTGAATTCTAGTTCTGATGGTTCTTCACTTAGAGCTGCCCTTGGGTATCAGTGTTTAAATTGTCAGGGGAGGTCAACCGAAAGCTGCAGAAGGATTTATCATTTGTCATTATGAAATAGAGATTTTAGTGGGAAAGATCACCTTGCCATGCGGGTGGGTTCTGGTGCTTCTGGCTGCGAAGTAAAATGTATGGGGAAGACCTGTGTGAAGCCTTGGAGAAAGAATTTAAGCCAGAAATGTTATTGTCTCCATGGAGCCCACAAACTGTGTGTGTCTGCAGGGGTGGGTGGGGTCCTGCCTTCTTAGCTGTGCTACAGCCATTGACCTGCTCTTCTTAGTCGTCTTCAGCCGTTTCAGTGGCCAGAAAGTCAATTGGAGAAACCACAAATTGCAAGCTGTCATCTACTTCCCCTATTTTTAGGATTTCCAGTTTTAATGGGCTATTTGTTCATGAATAATTCAGTTTCTTCCAGGAGACGCATGTTAGTGAGACCTCAGTTAATGGCTTTAAATATTGAATGCTGGTAAAAACTTATTGCTTATGGTACTACTTTTGAAATGACTTCACAACTAATACAGCTGTGGGAAATATAAAAGGAGGATTCTGTGGTATGACCTGTCTGTCTGAGAGATGTTCTTATCTCATTATGTGGCTTGAGAAAGCTGTCCCTCCAGTCTGGGTAACTTTTGTAGAAAGACTAAAGTGTGTATTAGTAGAGAAAGTCTGCATTTTATTCTATGTACTATCTGGAGTTTATATCTACCCATCGACCTCAGTGCTCTTCAAACTAGGGATGTACATACTACTGGGGCTGTGTGAGATGATCACTATGGAAAGAGAACATAATTGAATGTCAGTATTTAAAAAAATTTTTTTTAAATGTTCATCTTTGAGAGAGAGACAGAGTGTGAGCAAGGGAGGGGCAGAGAGAGAGGGAGACACAGCATCTGAAGCAGGCTCCAGGCTCTGAGCTGGCTGCATGAACTGCACAACCCATGAACTGTGAGATCATGACCTGAGCTGAAGTTGGACACTTAACTGACTGAGCCACCCAAGCGCCCCTAGAATGTTGGTATTTTAATTTAAGAATTCCTACCTTTTGTATGCCTTCTGTAAAGTCCTATTAGTACCATAGAATATATAATCTATAAACAAAAATGCTTCTCATAGGGCATGTTGATTCAGAAATCTCCAGTGACAGATGTGTGCAACCAGAAGAGCTGAGACCGTTGTCGTATACACTCAGTGTTAGGCTTTATGGTGATTAAATTTTGTAGACAAGTAGGTGTTATTGGAAGGTTTTGGTAAGCAAGGATATATTTCAGGTCTTAAGTTTGCTATTCAGTTTATCTGAATTTCAGTCAAAAGGGTAAAACTGAAAGTAAACTTATTCATATTTTTGTGTATCTAGAATAGCTTCTCCTTTCCCCCCAGCAATGTCAGTGTCTTCCAAGCAATGTCTTCCCTTCAGTCCTTAACTAGTCCTTTACGTAAAGCGTCCACAGTTTGTGGTTTGCGGTCCCTCAGTTTGTTTGCTTTTGTTTTGTGTAGCTTCAGGGGCCTTGTCGAAGTTAACTCATGGATTGAAAGATGAATCGCTGGCTTATATCTATCATTGCCAAAATCATTATTTTTGTCCAATTGGCTTTGAAGCAACCCCTGTGAAAGCTAATAAAGCATTCAGGTAAGGATTTCCATATTTTACGTAGGTAACTCATTGAGATAAGCATTTCCATATTTTATGTGGGTAACTCACCAAAAAAGAAAGCATTTAGGAAATATTTAGCCACTCAGAAATTGGAAGCCTTGATTATTTGCTTTCATTTGCATCGAGTTAGACGGTGCTTTAAATCTTTTAGCTCGTTCTTTTGCAGGATTGCATTTGGTTAACTGGGCTTTTACATTGTCCACTTAGATGCTGTTGTTCAGACTCGTGCAATGAAAGACATTTGAAAAATCACTTTTACCTTTATTACAAAATGATTGCAAAGGACTTCACATATTTTATCACTGTGTTTTCATCCACTGTTCACACAGAAAATGAATTAGGGGATCTTGTGTCAAAAAGTTGTCCCAACAGAGCACATTAGGAAGCATCTTCTTTTCTCCTAGTGAAAACTGTGGAATTTATCACTGTTGTCCTGGGTGGGTGGCATCGGTAATTGAGGAAGAGGAAAGGGCAGCACTGCTCTTTCAGTGAAGGCTGAAGGTCAGGTGGGGAGAACATGGCTTCCTCATCTGGGGATAAGATGGGTTCTTTGAGGTTGGAGGCCATGCGGGCATGAGTCCCCCTCAAGGCACGGTAGGGTTGGGGGACCCTGGGGCAGTATCTTGAGATCTGGGAGACCCAGGAAGCTGGACATTACAGTTTTGTGAATGAGGAGCAAGAAAGTATGTGATCTCTCCGAATCCTCCCTCTGGAGGTGAGGTGTATTCTTTCTTCTATTGTTTCATCCTGAGACCTCACCTTAGTCCAGACATGTATCAAATACAAACCATGAAAAAGTATGTAGTCTGACTTTGTACCCATTAGGGGAGAGTTCCACACCTCTGCCTATAGCTAAGCACCACTGAGATGTTTTTACAACTGTGCAAATCCCTCCAGATCTACGTGAATTTCCAGGAGTAGGATTTGGGCATCTGACTTTGGGGTTTCATTTTTAGGATACCTTTTGAAAATTTCTAAATAAACAGTGAAAGGAGAGGAGTAGCTGAAGAATGCTTGTAGGATGCTAGGATTTTTCTCTTCTTTTTAGATGCAAAGAGGTGGTATATTTCATTTCTTTTTTTTAGCCCTAGATTTTATAATAGGGATCAAGACCTAAGTTTCATTTATGCTTTCTCTTTAATGGCCTTACGAATTTTGTTCAAGCCTAAACTCTGATGATTTATTCTAGCAAAATGAGTGTCATCTTTTAATAAGCTTTAGTATACTTTTTATTAACAAAGTAGAAGTAATATTTTCAAAGGAGTGAATGGCCTTTATTAAGCCTTTTCTTAATTTGTTTTATATTTAGCAGGGGTCCCCTCTCACCACAAGAAGTAGAATATTGGATCTTAATTGGAGAATCAAGTAGAAAACATCCTGCTATTCACTGTAAAAAGTATGTTAACTTCCATTATTCTCTTTAATTTAGGTAAGATTTACATTTAGTGAAATGTACAAATTTTAATTGTATAATTAGGTGGATTTTGTTAAATGAATATACCTGTCTAATCATCACCCCAGTCAAGATATGGAACATTTTCATTGCACTGAAAGTACCCTCATTCTTCTTTCCTATCAGTCCCTATAGACAACCTCTGCTGTGTCATGAGAGGTTGCTTGGCCTGCTCTTGAACTCCATGTAAATGGAGTTACCTTGTTTTTATCATTTAAGTAACCTTGTGAGATTCATCTACTTTGTCATGCATATCATGATTTTTTTTTTTAATTGCTGAGTGGTATTTAAGTAGTGTAAGTGTACCACAACTTTTTATCCATTTTTCTGTTGATGACCATTTGGATTATTTTGACTTTGGTCTCGTGTGGGTAAAGCTATTAGGAACACTAATGTTTATGTCTTTAGAAGATTTCTAAGTAACAGCTTCACTGAAATAAAATTCACACACCATAAAGCCCACACTTTTAAAAATGTACAATTCAGTGGATTTTAGTATATTTGGAGTTGAGCATCAATCACCATGATCTAATTCCAGGAACTAAAACCCCCATCCCCATTAGCAGTCATTCCCCAACCCCCTCCCCTCACTTTCTGTCAACACTGATCTACTTTCTATCTCTGTGCATTTGCCCAACATGGACATTTCATATAAATGGAATCACACAACTTGTGGGCTTTCGTATCTTTCTTTTTCCCTTAGAATGTTTTCAGTGTTCATCTGTGTTGTAGCACGGACCAGAACTTCATTCCTTGATATGGCCAAATAATTTTCTGCTGTATGGATATGCCACATTTTCTTGTGCAAGTTTTTCGAGAAACTGTTTATATATTTTCTTCCTCTTGGACAGGTGCTGGGGGGGGGGGGTTGCTGATTATAGGATAGATGTGAATTTAAGAAGCTGGGAGAAAGTTCTCCAGTGGGGTTGTGCCATTTTACACTCCTACCAGAAACGTATGGAGTCTAGCTGTTCTTCATATCTTCACCAATATTTGATATTGTTACTCTGTTTTATTAATTAAATTATTTTATTTTCCCAGCTTTATTGAGTTATAATGTACAAATACAATTGTATATATTTAAAGTGTACAGTGTGCTGATTTAAAAAAATTTTTTTAAATGTTTTTATTTATTTTTGAGACAGAGACAGAATGTGGGTGGTGGAGGGGCAGAGAGAGGGAGACAAAGAATCTGAAGCAGGCTCCAGGGTCTGAGCTGTCAGCACAGAGTTCAACATGAGGCTCAAACTCACAAGAGATCATGACCTGAGCCGAAGTCAGATGCTTAACCGACTGAGCCACCCAGGCACCCCTAGAGTGCACTGATTTGATTTAAATTTTGTGAAATAGTTGCCACAATCAAATGTCAAACATATCCATAAGCTCATATAGTTACCTTTTCTGCATGTATGTGGTGAGAACACTTAAGATCTATTCACTTAGCAAATTTCAAGTGCACCATAAAGTATTACTAACTGTAATCATCATGCTGTACAGAGCCATAAGTTTGTTGTTTTTTGATGGTATTGTAAATTGATTTTTAAAAAATTTTTCCTTTAAAATGTGTCTGTTTTCCAGTTTTATTAGACATAACTGTCACATATATATGATTTAGTGGCATACAGCGTGATGGTTTGATTTACATATATTGTGAAATGATGACTGCAGTAGGTTTAGTTAACAAAAGGATTCTCCTTGTGATGAGCACTGTTAGGATCCACTCTCTTAACAACTTGCCTGAATGTCACACAGCAGCGTTTGCTATAGTCACCATGTTGTACATTACATCCCTAGTACTTATTTATCTTGTAACTGGAAGTTTGTACATCTTGGCACCTTCCTTTAAAAAATGTCACTTCTTAATTAGTTTCTGGTAGTGTACAAAAATGCAATCTATTTTTCTATATAGGCCTTGAATATTGTGTCTTTATCAAACTCACTCATAATTCCAATAGTAGTTTTATAATCCAAAGTAATTTGTAATTGCTTTGTGTTTTCTGTAGAGTCAATCATGTTGGCTGTGAATAAATGCATGTTAAATTTTAAATCTTTTGAAAACTTGACTCTAATTAAAAAGGAAATATGGACTATTTTGACTCTAGCTTGCAGGATGTCATCTAAGAGGTCAATAAATATATATTTCATAGTAAAAGTAGCCATGTTTGAACTGAGAATCTTGGCAGTAGTTGGTTAAGCAGACTTATCATAAAGAAAGAATTAAGGCTTAGGATGTGGAACCATCTTGATATAAGAGAATTATTGTTATGGTGATATTTTAGCAAAGTGCTCATGTGAAAAGACCCATTACAATGGTATTTTGTCCTTAAAGAAAAGTGTGCTTTATCCTTCCCTTTTCACGATAGGTGGGCAGATATTGTTACTGATCTCAACACTCAAAATCCAGAATATCTAGATATCCGACACTTAGAGAGGGGGCTGCAGTATCGAAAAACAAAGAAGGTAAGAACACCACTGTATCTGAAGATATTTCCCAAGCAGCCAAAATGCACTGTTTTACTCAGCACTCCTTAGGTTGTAAATAACAGAAATCCAGTTCAGATTATCTTAGATAGAAGAGTGTAAGATTATGTTCAGGACACAGGGGTATCTGTAGAATGAAAACGCAAGGAGGATAGCCTGGATTCATAAGGGGCTGGTACCAAGTAGCAGAATATTACCAGGGGCCAGGTAGCTTCTCTGTCTCATTCTTCTGGGAATTAGTTATATGTTGTTCTTATCTGTCTGATTATTTATTTCCTGAAGATCAAGAACTTCAACTTGTGTTTCCCTTTCAGATGAGCAGTCTAGATAGACTGAGAGTGGCCTGTCTAGGCTCAGTTCCGTCATTTTGGCCCAGCTTGGCTCAGGTGTTCACTCCTGAGCCAAATGAACTGTGGCCATGAAACAGAGCTGTGTGTACAAACAAGGTGGCTTGGGGAGCTTCTCAGTGAAAGGCAGATTCTGTGGATTGAGTTAACATTCCACTGATACAATCCTACTAACATCAAGAATACATGGGAGATAGGAAGAGGAATGATCTTGGTGTTTGAACTGGGCAGATGGGGAAGCAATGGTGTGTGTGACCAGTGGAGGGATATATGGGCAGGGGAGGGGGGAGTTGTTTTGGCTCCTGTGGGCATTGTTATATTTTTGTAAAGTCAGCTGGTCAAGAAAGATGCAGGATAAGGTGATCTGATGATATCTGAAAAGGGTAAGTACTGTTTTGAAGGGGGAAACATAAAGCAATTCATAGGAACCCACATTATTAGTATAATTAATTTCCTTTTACTTTCTTAACCCAACGTTTTTTTTCTTCTCAGGTTGGGGGAAATTTGCATTGCATTATAGCATTCCAGAGACTTCATTGGCAAAGATTTGGCCTTTGGAACTTTCCATTTGGAACCATTAGACAAGAATCACAACCTCCAGCACATGGCCAGGGAATAGCCAAATCTGAGAGCGAGGATAATATCTCCAAGAAGCAGCATGGGCGTCTGGGCCGATCTTTCAGTGCTAGTTTCCATCAGGACTCAACATGGAAAAAGATGTCCAGTATCCATGAGAGAAGGAACAGTGGCTACCAGAGTTATGGTGATTTTGATGGGAATGATTGACCATGTTGGGTACTGAACAATTTGTGTTATACATACGACTGCTCTATACAAGACTGCATTAAGACAGTAGAAGGTTTTATCAAGTCTACACTAAATAGGAACAGATGTTGTGGTACAAAATATAACCTTGTAGTTCTCCAGTAAATAAGCTTGTATATGATTATGATGGGTGATTTCAGATATAGAAGCAGATAAGCACAGATTATTGTCCTTTTAATGAGTATATAAACATTATGGACAATTTCACAAAATCCAGTAAAATTACATATAAACAATTCAAACACAAATTCACTTAATAGCATCATGATTTGAAATACTTAAGCATGAAATGATTTCTTATAACTTGATCACCACGCATTTGTTGCGGATAGTTTTATTCCTAAACTCAATATAAAAGGTAACATCTGCCCTTTTAAAGAAAATTGGGGCTGTTGATTTCTAGTTTTCTCTCATGGTTAAAGCTCATTTAAAATTATTTCATCAGTCTAGAATTCTTTTACTTGCAAGCAGCATCTTGCCTGCCTCATTTGTTTCCTGACTAACATTCTCAGGATCCTCCATAAAGAGGCAAAAGTGAAGACTCAAGAAACTGATCTTTTTTATTGGTGCATTGATCTAGGATATTCTTGACTTTCTTGACTTGGTATGGTACTATCCAATATTGACAAGATCTTCAGGCCTTGAAAGACTTCTGTCTACAGTGAACCTTGTTTTGGGATAAAAGAAAAGTAGAATCCAGAGTTTCTACATCCAAGGTAATCTATGAAATGAGACTTTGCAATATTTGATTGGTCCCTGAGTGTGAAGTCCTATGTTGCTAACAGCATTAAAGATGCATTAGGAATGCCATGCCACTCAGAGGACAGATATCTGTATTCCCAGCTCTGAGCTGCTTCCTTTTTTAAATCGTACAATTAGCTGTTTGAAGTGAGTGTTAAATAGTTCAGAAGGAGTGGATTTCATGTATTTGAGCTCCTGCCTCGTTGATGTTCGTTTTTCTTCTGCTGTCAGCTTGTGATGTGTTCTTTCATTTCAGGGGATGTTTCATGACTCAAATCAGTAACTTGATTATTACAAGGTGCTGAATATGTAGGTAACCATATTGCAATACACCTCAAGGAGAGGGTTCAGATTTTTATTTTTAAAATATTTTCATTTTCTTCTCTTTTGAATTTTATATCCATTTACCCACTCAGACATGCCTAGCCTACAGACAGGGATATATATTATGAAATGGTCATTTTTCTGAAGAGAATATTTTGCGTGAAATGCAAAGGACTGAAAGAGATTTGTAGGTCGTTGATTTTGTTACTTCACACTGGAACTTTTAAGAAGTTTTCATCAAATAAAGTTTTGTTTTCTACTTTTAATAATGTGTCGTGAACCTTTGTTTTACCTAGGGAGTACCCTTGGAATTCAGTTTGAAGTACGTGACAATCCCGCCTAAGTAGTATAAGAAACCATCTTGTATCTGAGTTTTATAATCGATGAAACAAGATACATTATGACTATAATTTCAGATTCCTGTAAGACTTTATAATAGGAAGTAGAAAATTTAATTATATTAGTTTGAACCAAACAAAGTCGTCATTTTTGTAGGTCAAACATGGTTGAATATCTGCAATTTCATAGAGTTTAACAGAGTATTTAAGAGAAGAGGCAGATAGGGGGAACCAAGAGGAAAGGAGACAGATGCAACATAGAGAATACGGTGACACCTAAGAGGATGAATTTATACAGACTGCCTATTGGCCATAAATAATTTTTATAAAAAGTCTTGACATATAGGATTACTTAATAACTTGATATACAAGTTTGGCAGTTATTAAGAGCATATTAAGGTTTTTAGAGACTAATTTCCAAAAAACTATATGCAAGTTTCTGCACACTTCTCTTTCAAGATTAGGAACACTCCTGTCCTATTTAATTTCTTGGTCATCCCTTTCTGGGATTCTCCATAGAAGCACTGAAGGTTCAAAAAATGGCACTGTCCTTGCTCGCTCTACCACCTGGGCAAGTTAAGATGAAGATTTCTGTCCTTATTTCCTCGTTGGTAATATGGGGATAATAGCACCTATTTTATAAACTGTTTTGAAGAATAAGTTAATGCACATGCAGTGTTTAGAACAGTGCTTTGTGGAGAGTGCTTGCTATTATCCTCCAAAAGACGTTTATTTTACTGTTCAGAATCTTGATAGTGAGCCCTTTAAGCAGCAGCTAATGGAGCCACTTCACCGTAAGTCAAATATACACCCCTTAGTTCCTGTTCCCTCAAAAGAATATTTTGTATTCAAGAAATGTTGCTCTGGTTTTAAAAGCGCTTCTAATACTCCAGTGCCTACATTGGCTATTTGTTTTTACCTAGCTCTTAGGCATAAAAAATGTTCATTTAGATCAAATCCTGAAACTGTTCCTTTCCGTACTCTTGTGTCCCATCTTTAGGCCAAGCTGGTGCAGCATCTAAAACACTTCCAAACTTTCCTTTTCCCAGATACTTAACGGAGCTCAGGCAAACTGCTCTGTGAGCCACACAGTTTGTAAGTTAGTTTTACCCATAACATATTCTCCTTCAATCCTTCATTTAACTAAATTTTTTATTTTAAAATTTAAGTTTATTTATTTTGAGAGAGCGCTGGTGCACATGTGAGAGTGGGGGAGGGGAAGAAAGAGAGGCAGGGAGAGAGAATCCCAGCAGGCTCCACCCCGATACTGGGCCGGCTCCATCTCAGGAACTATGAGACCATGACCTGAGCCAGGATCGAGTTGGACGCTTAACCGACTGAGCCACCCAGGCGCCCCTCAGCAAACTAAGTTGACCACTATTACCCCCTACGTGTTTCATATTAAATCACTGATCTCAGAACAACCCCAAGAAGGTGGCATCTCCACTTTATTCAGACTCTCCTTGGTGAAGAAACTTGTTTAGGATCACAGGGTGTCTTCTACCATAGACTGGGTGGCTTAAATAACAGAAATTTATTTTCTCACAGTTCTGGAGGCTGGAAGTCAAAGATCAAGGTGTTGGCAGGCTTGGTTTTTCCTGAGCCTTTCTTTCTCTTTGGCTTGCAGATGGCCACCTTCTAGCTATATGCTCACATGGTTCTTCCTTGGTGTACATGTCCCTGGTGTCTCTCTCTGTGTGCCCAAATTTCCTCTTATCTGATAAGGACAGCAGTTGGATTGGATTAGGTTGACCATCACAGCCTCATTTTAACTTAGTCACCTTTAAAAGGTGCCATCTCCAAATACAGTCACATTCTGCGGTGCTGGGGTTTAGGGCTTTAACATACAAATTTTAGAGGTGAACACAACTCAGCCCACTAACACAGGGCTATTATGTGGCTTAGACAGGATTTGGACCAAAGGCTGCCTGACTTGTGGGGACATTATCTTTCAGGGGGTGCAAGATGTGCTGGAGAGCTTAAAAAAAATTTTTTTAACATTCATTTTTGAGACAGAGAGAGACAGATCATGAGTGGGGGAGGGGCTGAGAGAGAAGGAAACATAGAATCCAAAGCTGGCTCCAGGCTCTGAGCTGTCAGCACAGAGCCCCACATGGGGCTTGAACCCATGAACCGTGAGATCATGACCTGAACTGAAATCAGACACTTAACTGACTGAGCCACCCAGGTGCCCCTGGAGAACTTTAGAGGCTGACAAAGGTCATTTAGGGAATATTTATGGAATCCCTAAATGTTGGCAATGGGGGCAGGGGGGGGTCTAACAGTCAACCAGCTAATTCTTAGCTTCAATAAGTTTATAATCTACTCGGGGGGGGGGAGGGTGGAACAAAAATGGAATAGGCAATTATATTAACCTCTGTAAAATACAACTAGAAACAATTTTTGGGAATTGCTCCACACATGAGAGTTCTGACCTAGAGGGTTCCTTTAACAAAAATCACCACCTCGTTTAACATACAACCTACCCATTGGGTTAGGTTACATCAACCTACCCACTGAAGCTTGAATCTCCTTTCAATACTTCAAATTAGAACCATTATGCAGGTAAGGCTAACATTTTCTGAGTAGCAGTGATAAGTAGTCTACATATATCACCTCTGATCCTAGCTAGAACAGTTTGCAAAGACTTTTTTTTTTTTTTTTAACGTTTAGTTTTGAGAGAGAGGGAGGGAGAGAGAAAGAAAGACAGAGTGTGAGTGGAGGAGGAACAGAGAGCAAAGATGACACAGAATCCGAAGCGGGCTTCAGGCTCTGTCTGAGCTGTCAGCACAGAGTCCATGTGGGGCTTGAACCCACGGACAGTGAGATCATGACCTGAGCCCAAGTTGGACACTTAACCAACTGAGCCACCCAGGCGCCCCTGCAAAGGCTGGTTTTATGCTCAGGTCGAAGAAGCAACAGAAGTCCTCAACAACTGTTGTTACTTGAGCCATGCCAATACTGTAACGTGGCGTGGTGGGGTCTGAATCCGGACCTGAGGGTTCTAGAGCCACGGCCTTTCCAAGGGCTACTCTGCCTACTAAGTTTCTCGTCATTTCTGACCTACAAGCCTAAATTTTATTTATTTATTTTAATGTTTTATTTATTTCTAGGAGAGAGAGAGAGAGAGAGAGAGAGACAACGTGAGCAGGGGAGGGTCAGAGAGAGAGGGAGACACAGACTCCGAAACAGGCTCCAGGCTCCGAGCTGGCAGTCAGCACAGAGCCCGACGCGGGGCTCGAACCCACGAACCGCGAGATCATGACCCAAGCGAAAAGTCGGACGCTTAACCGACTAAGCCACCCAGGCGCCCCCCTACAAGCCTAAATTTTAGACGTCACAGAAAACCAAACTGTATCTCAAGGGTTAAGGCTTTTATAAGATGATTAAGTTAACACGAGGCCGGTTTGCTGTCTAGGTACTACGAGTAATTGGACAAAATAGTTATTAATTTAAAAACACCAGTGAAGCATCCACCTTTCTGCTGTCGCTTCTCGGGTAAAACAGCAGTTGGTATTAAGAGCCTACCCGGTGGGGGCGGGGCAGGGACGATACCGAAAAACCACGTAGGAAACAATGACCTCAGCAAGCAGACACTCAGCGCACGGCGCTAACGTTTCGCGGCGACAGAATGCCAGCGTGGAGGAAGCTCGGGAACGACAGGACGCAAACACCGGGGCGGCACCGCCCCCTCGTTTCCGGAATGAAGAAGGCGCAGCAAATATACGTGCGGCGGTGAGGCGGGACTTCCGCCCTGAGCAGCCTATTACATAGAAGCCGTGTCCCACCCGCTCGACCCATTTCGCGCGGATTTGCGCACCCTGCTAGAAAACGGGCGGTGTTGGGGGGCCACATCCTGGCTGTTGGTCTCGCCTGCGTGTTCCCTTCGCCGCTCTTCGTTTCAGAGGGCGCACGTTTAGGCCAGACCTTCGCAGAGACGAGGTCTGGCGCCTCCCGCGCCTCCCTGACGCCGGCCATTCTCGGGGCCCCGCCCTTTCTTCCGTGGGGCAGTGTCAGCCGCCGGGAAGTGCCGTCCTCGCCGGTGCCGGTGTCCGTCTTCCCCGGGTGGGAGCGGGGGGAGCTGCGCCCGGGATAGGAGGCCTCCCGCCGAGGGTCGCTGGGGGCCTCATGGGGGTGCAGGGGCTCTGGAAGCTTCTGGAGTGCTCCGGGCGGCAGGTGAGCCCGGAGACGCTGGAGGGGAAGATCCTCGCCGTGGGTATCCTTCGCGCTTCGTGGGTTCTCGGGCGCAGGGACTCGCGCCAGGCGTTTGCTCGCTCTCGGCTCCCTTTTGGGCCCAGCGTGGTGTTGGCGGGACGACGCCCACCCTCGGGGCAGCAGCGGCAGCGCCTTCACCACGCGGTCTTCAAATGTCCCTCCCCCCTCCCCTCCCCCAATCCCCCTTCCCCTCCCCCAATCCCCCTCCCCTAATCCCCCTTCCCCTCCCCCANGGGCCCAGCGTGGTGTTGGCGGGACGACGCCCACCCTCGGGGCAGCAGCGGCAGCGCCTTCACCACGCGGTCTTCAAATGTCCCTCCCCCCTCCCCCCCCCCCCCCCCCCCCCCCCCCCCCCCCCCCCCCCCCCCCCCCCCCCCCCCCCCCCCCCCGGCTCTGCAGGAGTGCCACGCCGGATTGGAGTCCTCTGGTTTTATTACTTAGGGGCAGTGCTTTCCGCTCTCTGTGCTTCCCTTCTCTCACCTGGAAAGTGGAGGTGATAATAGTATCTGCGCACAGGGCTGGTATGAGGAGCAAAGGGGTTATTTAAGTGAAAGCTTAGTTACTATTGTAAAGCGTAAAAGCCTTGTCCCGGCTTGGGGGGTCAGCGTGGAATTAAATCAGGTGGGCTTCCTACCGGTAGTGTCGCTTGCTGGTCCTCCTGAGCCCTGCCCCACTTAGATGTATTAGAAGGAGGATAGTGCAGACGGGTGTTTGGCTTTTTTTTTTTTTTTCTTTTCTTTTTTAAAAGTAACTTTTACTATTTTTTTTATTGATGAGTTTTGGAATAGGAAATACATGTGGTCCAGCACTGAAAAGATTTCAAAAGGCACACAGTGGCTTTTTGTTTTGTTTTTGGTTTGTATTTGCTTTTGTTTTACCTCCCAGCCTCTATGATAAGACCCGTAAAGGATTGCCTTTTATGCATTTGTGTGGCTGGTTTGGTGTGTGTCTTTGGAATTAAGCGTTTTTCTTTTTTTTATCGAAACATACAAACACTGTTTCTGAAATTTTGGTCTATTTAGACGTTAAGCATCCTTCTCCTCTCCCTCCCCCTCCTCCTTCACCTTTGAGGGGCTGTTCTGTTCCGGAAGTTGGTGGTACCTTATGCCAGGTCCCTAGGCGGGCGCAGGAGTTGTGAGGAGAAGAGACTCCTATAAATTGCTGTCGGTGGTAAATGCAGTTTAAGAGTATGTGGAAATTCTGCTAAGGGGCCACTGAGTGAGGAGCCGTTATTTAGTGTGGAGACAGCTTTTACGTGATGTGACACTGCTGATTTTTCAAATAAACCTAATAATGATTATAGGGCCTGCAGTGTGAGTAATCTTGAAATACATCTGTAATGAGTTTTGCCTTGCTTAAAAGCTTTTGAGGGATACCTTGTATCGGGGAAAGGGAAAGTTTGTGGTTGATGTGTTAAAGCAATGTGCTGTTGCTGCCCTCTAGTGGTTCTTCAAATCACTGCTTTCTGAAGATTTTCATAGTAGAAGATCATGGGAAGGAAAGCAGTTTTCAGTGACAGGAACCCTTCAAACTTCAGCAAAGAAAGACTTTTTTTTGAAGAGGCTTCATAGAGCAGCCTCTATGAAGAAGTGATGATTTGTAAAATCATTGAGCTGATGCATCAAGTTCAGCATTCTAATTTTCTGGGAAGTTGTCCAAAGTAAGGAAAGTAAAGTGTTTAATTTAGAATTTAGATTACCTATTTTTAAGATGACTCAGGAACCCTTTTGGGACATGAAGTAATTTTCATGAGGTTATTAAGTTTGTCTGAAAGAACAAATTATTTTAAGAGCACTATCAACTATCCTCCAGTTATAAATACAAATTTACATATATATGTATGTATGTATGTGTTTAAGTATATGTATGTGCAAAGAGAATATTTGACTGCTGTTCCAGAATTGATTTTGCTTTGTTTCATTTTTCTGTTTTTTATACTTATTTATTTATTTATAATTTACATCCAAGTTAGTTAGCATATAATGCAACAATGATTTCAGGAATAGATTCCCTAATGCCCCTTGCCCATTTAGCCCATGCCCCCTTCCACAACTCTCCAGCATCCCTCTGTTGTCTATATTTAGGAATCTTTTATGGTTTGTCTCCCTCCCGGTTTTTATAATATTTTTGCTTCCCTTCCTTTATGTTCATCTGTTTTGTATCTTAAATTAATCATATGGCTGAGGTCATATATTGGTCTTTCTCTGATAGACTAATTTTACTTAGCATAATACCGTCCACTTCCATCCACATAGTTGCAAATGGCAAGATTTCATTCTTTTTTTTTTAATAAAAAATTTTAACGGTTATTCATTTTTGAGAAACAAAGTGTGAATAGGGGAGGAACAGAGAGAGAGAGAGGGACGCAGAATCTGAAGCAGGCTCCAGCCTCTGAGCTGTCAGCACAGAGCTCGAACACAAATTGCCAGATCATGACCTGAGTTGAAGTCAGTTGCTCAACTGACTGAGCCACCCAGGCGCCCCTGCAAGATTTCATTCTTTTTGATTGCTGAGTAATATGTGTATATACACCACATCTTTATCCATTCATCTGTCAGTGGACATTTGGGCTCTTCCCAGCTTTGTTCCATTTTCATGGGAATTCAAATTCAAATATCTGACCTATATTCCAATATTTTTGTCTTCTATGTTAATGAGGAAATTATTCATGACACACCAGGTTCATAATTTACTCTTGGATCTTTAAAATACATTTTTTAAACCTTCTGTGGATGAGTTGTCTTGTTTATTTATATAATCTAAATGTGTCGAATAAAAATTAACAGTTTAACTTTTGACTCTTGTGAACCTTAACATTTGTAAACTGCATCTAACTCTGTTAGCAAAATATTACACTCTCTTTAGGCTATGCATACTAATGGAGATTTAAATCACCTAACAATAGAACTAAAGTAATTTATCTTTTCCTTCAAAATGTTATTAGTCCTTTGGGTCTTATCTATGAAGTGATTCTGGCTTTGCTGCAGATTTAACTTTTTTCCAGCCCTGGGACACATTTAATGTTCCTTTTTTTTTAATAAACTTACTGAAATTAGGCAAGTCTAATTATACAGATACTTTCACAATGCCTAATATATTTTAAAAAGTAATTTCAAGCTGGAACTTTCAACCCTAGCTAAGACTGCTTATGATTAATAATAAAAAAAAAAGACCCATCTCAGTCTCTTTGATTTAGAATTTTAGACATATCTGTATTTAGTATTTTATAAATTAAAAGCTTTTATCCAGTTTGAAGGGATGACAGAATTGAGAGCCACTGATCTAAAATTAGGTTTTATCATTAATTATAACAAAGTAATGGTTTAAGTAGAAACTTAAGACTGTACAACAGTGTAGCCACCAGAAATGAGCCAGGCAGAATTACAGCACAGAACTGAGTCAACGCCAAATCATACTTGCAAGGTAGATCCTTTATCCTGCCACTTAACTGTGTCCACCATTGCTGTGCGCTCTCCCTAGGGCTGTTGCAGCTAGTTTATTCCTCACTCGTCCACTAGGGTGATCTTTAAGTCACGTGCCTGTGGCTGCACACACACACATCGACTCTTGCTCCTGTGGCTCAGATTTTGCCACGTCGTCCTTTAGTGGAAGCATGCATCTCTCTTAGGGCATTCACATTTGCTGCCCCTCTCGTCTCGCCGTTTACTCCCTTTCTCTTGTCCATTCAGGGCTCCGCTATTTCTTCACATAGGCCTACCCTAAGTAACGAGCCACTGACCGCCCCTCCCGTCCTTTTACTCTGCTCTATTTCCTTTTTTTTTTGGTATTATATCTATACGTATTATAGTAAATTTATCATATGTATCTATTTGTCTTCTATTTTGTTGTTCGTCTTCCCCATTAGAGTGCAACTTCTTGGAGATAGACACCATATCTCTTTTGTGCAGGGCTATGTTTGCTCTTCTATCTCAAGATCTTGGGTCTTAGATAAAGTCTGGCACATAGTAGCACTCAAATATAGGAATGAATATAATAATAGCTTGCTTTCCACTAGTCATTTTGTTCCATGGTATTTAAGTTAATTGTTGATGGGCCTGATTTGTTTTATGGTTATAAGTTAGGTAATGTACATTCATTTAAATACTTAGCTGTTGAAATTTTTTTAATGTTTTTTATTTATTTCAGAGAGAGAGAGAGAGAGAGAGAGACAGCATGAGCAGGGGAGGGTCAGAGAGAAAGGAAGACACAGAATCCGAAACATGCTCCAGGCTCTGAGCTATAAATAATAGCTGTTCAGCTCATGTGATACCAAATATTTGTTGCCTCCTATAGGTCCCATGAAAGGGGAGCCGTGCACAAAAACGTGGTCTAGACAAGGCATGGAGCCAGTGGTGTGGTTTTTCCCTCCATTAGGTTGTAAGCTCCAAAGGGCAAACCCCTTGTTTTGTGCAGTGCTGGATCCCCAGTGGGTTTTCTGCCACATAATAAGCAATACAACTTTGAATAGGAGTGCATAAGTGGGGGTGTATGTCTGGGCTGAGGAAGTGACCCATAGACCAGGACCTCTGAGTCCGAGATAACTAGGCTGAGAGGGGAGGAGCTCAGGCCGGAGAAGGAGCACGTGAGGCCATGCTGGAGGCAGGAAGTGTCTGCCCACAAGACAGCTTGGAAGATGGAATTGAGGGGAACGTAGGGGATGACATTCAGCGATCTGGCTATGGTGAACGGGGTCACGTTCACTGCAATGGGGCCATAAGCAGTCAAGTAGAAAAGACCCATGTCCCGTTTTGATCATGTTAAGTTGGGAAGGTCTGCGAGGCATGGGGGAGAGGTGTCATCTAGGCCATCTAGTCTGGGGGTAGGACAGAGCTCACGAAGAGAGAGGGTGCGGCGTGGGGGTGTGAGGTAGCCCGGGGAGCCCATGCAGCAGGAGGAGGGGAGAGGGCCCGAGCAAGGGAGAGCACTGCTGAAGTCAGGCTTGAGTGGGGATGAGAGGGCAGAGCGACGGGGAGCAGGAAGACCATGAGGCCTGAGTCCCTCTGTCTTACCGACAGGCAGGAATAATTTGGTAAGGAGCGGTGCTTACAAAACTTAAATATAAGCAACCTCTAAAAAAATGTAAACTACTTGTAATTGCAGAAGAGGTAACTATTGTTCATATTTTGATGTCTGAACTTCTAGTTTCTTATATTTAACATATCCTGTATATTATAAAATGCAATTATGCATCCCATAGTTTTGTGACCTGTTTTGTCTCCTTTAATATTTTGTGATTGTCTTTCTTATCACTATATCTGCTTCTGTAGCTTCCATTTTTGAGGGCTCTCTGGTATTTCAGCAAATCAGTGTATCATAGTTTAAGTGAAGATATGTTGGAAAATTTTTACATTGTTTTTCATATTTTCTTTAAACATTTATAGAAGTCACTCGTATTGTAAATCTATGATGATTTTCTGAGGATAAATGTCTGGAAGTAGAAGTAGTAAAATAGAATGCAAGTTTTTACATTTTTTGCTATGAATTGCCAAATTGTTCTCCAAAAGAGTTGTGCTAATTTATGAAAATTCTGTAGAGATTATCAGTTTTTTTTAAAAGAAGCAATTATTTAAAATTAGATTTTCTATAAGGACACATCTGTTGATGTAAGATTTTAAAATCAGTATGTGAATAGTAGTAACAAGTGTTCAAATAAAATTAACTGATTATAGGTAGATTCCATCAGGGCTGAACATTTTTCGATTTCAAGTGAATTAATATGAGGGCTTACTCTCAATGTTTAAATGATATCTATCGGCTATTGGGAAGTTGAAATCACAGGGATGAGGGAAGAAATTCCAAAACCTTTCCTTTAACAATTCTGCCAGATATTAGCATTTGGTTGAACCAGGCACTAAGAGGAGTCCGGGATCGCCATGGGAACTCAATAGAAAATGCACATCTTCTCACTTTGTTTCATCGACTCTGCAAACTCTTATTTTTTCGAATTCGTCCTATTTTTGTGTTTGATGGGGACGCTCCACTATTGAAGAAACAGACTTTGGTAAGAGTCATCTTTTTTTTTTTTTTTCTCTCTCCATATTCTTAGAAAGAAAGAAAAGTTTGGGGCGCCTGGGTGGCTCAGTCAGTTGAGTTCCAAGTCTTGATTTTGGCTCAGGTCATGACCTTGCAGTTGTGGGATTGGGCCCTTATGTTAGTGTGGGGCCCACTTGGGGTTCTCTGTCTCTGTCTCTTTCTCTCTCTCTCTCTCTGTCCCTCCTCCACTTGTGCCTGCATGCACGCTTGCACTCTCTCAGAATAAATAAACCTTTTAAAAAAGTTCAGGTGTAATTTTAACTTTCTCTTTAGAATTTTGGAAGCTAAGGCTTATTTTAACATACATCCAGCTTAATTTCAACTTTTTTAGTGTATTTTGAACAAATTACTTTTTTTTTTAAAAGTTTATTATTTTGGGAGAGAGAGACAGAGAGAGAGAGAGAGAGCACAGGAGGGGCAGAAAGAGAGGTAGAGACAGAATCCCAAGCAGGCTCTGTGCTGTCAGTGCAGAGCCTGACACAGGACTCGATCCCACGAACCGTGAGATCATGACCTGAGGTGATATCAAGGGTTGGACGCTTAACTGACTGAGCCACCCAGGCTTCCCAACACTTTGTCTTTTAAAAAAGGATTATTTGTGAGAGTACCTCCTGGGTGCAATGATAAAATTTAGCTTTTAATAAAACTAAAATTCTTACACTTGGGAGTCTTCCTTCTAGAGTTTCTTTGTAGCTGTCCTGTGCATGTTTTAGCTATGCTACTGAGCTCTACGGAGCACCCTTTGAGGGAAATGCTCTGAGTCTGAGATTGTGGGTCCGCAATGTTTAAAGACTGATGGGATGTTAGAAATAGGTGATTTTGTGTGGTGCCAGCTGTGATTAAAGTGAATTATCAAGGAAGGAAGTTGGCCAGGATATAAAAAAATTATAATGAGTTTCTTTATTCTTTCTCTCTTTATTTATTTTGAGAGAACAAGAGTGAGGGAGGGGCAGAGAGAGAGAGAGAGGGAGGGAGAGAATCCCAAGCAGTCTCTGCATTGCCAACGCAGAGCCCGACTCTGGCTCAATCCCACAAACCATGAGATCATGACCTGAGCCCAAATCGAGTTGGACGCTAAACTGACTGAGCCATCCAGGGGCCCCAGGAGTTTCCTTATTCTGAAGGTAGTTTCAAACAATGTTGGAATGAAGTTGTGAACTTTGGAGTAATTGTGTATGCCCCAAATGATAGCACCCATTTGGACACAGGACTTTTCTTCATAATCACAATGGATAGACATTGTCTAAGCAAATGAGGCTGTAGGATGAAAGTAAGGATCTGCAAAAGCCTGGGAACATTTGTTCCCTCCGTAAAAGGTATAGACTTGCATGTTGCAGTTTTAAATTATCCAAGGCACACGTATCAGACCTTCTTTGGAAGGATTAGACAGGAAAGAAGAACTCCAGAATTTATCTGCAAGTAAACAGCATCTCCCCAATTCCCCTGCCCCATAATTAAAGGTGTTAGCTAACACTATTGTAGTAGTTACTTTGTAATACATAAACGTATCAAATCAGCACATTGTACACCTTAAACATCCAGTATTATATGCCAGTTATCTCTTAATTTAGAAAAGAAGAGAATGTTTTGGTATTTCTTCCTTATATTCCACCATATTCCACCTTATATTCCACCTTATTCCACCTTATATTCCACCATATTCTATTTTTTCCTACTTGGACATTACTTACAAGACACTTCTCTACAATTTAGGATTTCTTATGATATAACCTTGAATGTTGAGGGACAGAGTGACATCTAAGTAATGTTATTTTATAAAGACCGATATCAGAAATTGGCTTTGGCATAACAGTGATTTTTAGAGACTACGTTAGTTAATTGATATAATCTTGCATTTATTTAACTATGTATCATTAAGTTTTAGGCTTCTGGGGACATTAAAGGATATTTAAAAGAAACTGAAGATAAATTAATCATTTCCCAAATACCGTATACTAGCCAGTTCTTTCAGTAATTGCTAGATGGAAACTCAGTTTCCTTTACATATCAGAAACCTGAACATTTTCACGGATAAACAGAACTTTGGAGGAAATACTAAAGCATCTATAGTCTGAAAGCTCAGACAACCCAAATTCTATAGAAAAAAATCAGAGAAATATTTTTGATATACTAATACCCTGAAATAGAATCCTCTGTCCTTTCTTTTCACAGGCTAAGAGAAGGCACAGAAAGGATTTGGCAACCAGTGATTCCAAAAAAACTACGGAGAAGCTTTTGAAAACATTTTTGAAAAGACAGGCAATCAAAACTGCCTTAAAAAGTAAAAGGCAAGAGGCACATTACATTAATTTTCAAGTTTAAAAACCTTTAAGTTTTGTGTTGGATTAGCCCTTTCCCTAACTTTAACTCAGCAGATAATAGATGGTGACTTGAGAGGGGTACGCGGGGTGTCCATTTGACCCAGTAAAATGCAGGGCATTTGAAGTTGTGCATGGCAGCTTCGATAAGGAGAGAGAAAGGCTGTAATGATGCATTGTGTGCACTTTGCACTTGGATGACGCGTGTGCCCGTAGCCAAGGCTGTGGCCTGGGGGCCAGGGGCCGCAGGGGCCGCCCTCTGTCTCTCCAGGCGCCAGGCCGCCCTTGATCCACCACAGCGGCCGGGAAGCTGGGCCAGCAGTGCCAAAGCTGCTCTCCTGTGCTTCCCCGTCTCACCTCCTTGGCAGGGCTTGTGTCGTCAAAATCCGGACCTAAAATTCTAATTCCTGTCACCCGTGTTTAAGTCTGTGTGTGGTTTTCAGAGATGAAGCGCTCCCCAGTCTTACCCATGTTAGAAGAGAAGATGACCTCTATGCTTTGCCGCCTTTAGAGAAGGAAGAGAAGAACAGGTAAGTGTCTGTTTACAAATGGTGATTGGATGTTTAGACAGGTTTAAACCTTTGTGTTTTATCTGCACGATGAGGCATGTGGGAATGAATGCATCTGAGAATGCATTCTCCCTACCTTGTAGAACGTTTTTCCTTCCTTTCATACTAACTTGTCCCTGTTCTCTTCATTCTGCAGACCCCGTGTTAGCCCTGGGGGTGTATCGTTCACGCGCATGTTTCTTACCCTTCGCACACATGTGCTGTCTCTACCTGTTTCTCGGCCCATGTCTCGAGTCTCCTGCCACGCCTAGAGCCCGCACACAGCGTCCTCCTCGCTGAGTCCAGTAGTCACCTTGCAGGCCTCCGCCTGCTGCACTCGGGGCCCGTGCTGTCCTGCTACCTGGGAGCCTTCCTGGACACTCTTCCTCTAGCTCCTCTCCCTCTGGCTCTTCCTCTGGCTCACTCTTAATTGTCAGCAGCTTCTGTGGCTGACCGGTGTCTCTCCTCACCTGCCCCCATTCCTTTCCCAGGGGCTCCTGAGACCCCAAGCAGCTTTTGAATCAGGCCATTTCTGTTTGTCTTCATCACTGCCACCATCACCCTTACCGCAGTGGCTTCCACACTTCTTTCTCTGTCTTTGTCTTTGACCTTACCCTTTAGCTGGAACCCTACCCACCACACTCAATCTCTGCTTTGTAGTGTAGAATCTATTAAAACCCAAATCTGATAATGTCCTCTTGTAGCTTAAAGCACTTCCTACCTTCTCATGTCTTTAGGATAAATTCCAGCTCCTTAGTCACGTGCTTCTCCATCCTCACCACCCGCCCTCTTGATATGGCGTACAGGCAGCCTCTCTTTCCCTTGTTTCCGGATGCTTATAGAACTTAGGGTTTCCGCTGGAATACTTCTCTCCATGCACGTCCCTCAGGCCCTATAACTAGACCTCTCACTTACTTGGGCCTCAGGCCAAGCAGTGTAATTGCCAGATTCCAGAACACCTGGAGGACCCCCCAGATTGGAGAGAGGTACTCTCATTATTGCAGCCTGCTCCTCACTTGTGATGGAAGTTACTAGACCGACCATATTGCAATTGCTCACTTACATGTGTCCTCTCCAGACTGTGGGAACAGGGACAACCTGGCTCTTGCCATCTCACTCACCATCGTCGCCCCTAGTGGTAGCAGCCCCGTGCCTCATGCAGTGTTTTCACAAGTCATTAAGTCAGTTACTGTAAACATATGCTTGGCTTTCAGTTCAGAAGAAGAAGATGAAAAAGAATGGCAAGAAAGAATGAGTCAGAAACAAACATTACAGGTATTTATGTAATTTTTGAATTCAGAATACATTCTATCATTTGAAGTAAATGACATGAAAATAAATAATGAGGTGGTATGAATTTATGAAAGTTCCTGAAAAACAGAAGCCTTCTTTACTGTGCGTGTGTGTATAAGTGTGTGCATGTGAATATATGTATGAGTACACATGCTCACATGCACATTTATGAGGAGTTGGCCATTGTGCATGTCCAGATGTCCAAAATGAGCCATCTTTCCTTTACAACCAACCAGCCACCCAAACAGGAAAGAGTAACGTATACTTGTGTAAAAATATAGAAACAGTAGCACCATAAAAGATGGGTATATAACTTCAGGTAACATTTGGACATGTGTTAGTCCATTCTGCCTCCTTCCTCCTTTTGGTTGAGTACCTGCGTGTACTTGGGTATGTTAGTATATGTCAGGTGTACGTGTGTGTGTGTGTGTGTGTAACTACGTCTGTGCTTACGTTCCACTTGCCCACTGCCGTGTGACAAAACAGTTGTTTGTCTGCCGTCTTCTCTCCCTGTTCTGGGGGTTGGTGAGCCAAGCTAGGCCGTGCCCTCTGCACGTCTGCCGTGTAGCTGCACACAGACTGGAGCTGGGGCTGGAGCCCCTCCAGGGCTGCCTCACTGCGTGTCTGGCGGTTGACGCTGTCAGTCAGAACACCTGCCTGTGGCCTCTCTCTGCGGCCTGGGCTGGTTCACAGCGTGGCGCTCTGTTCCCGGGGCAGGCGTCCCAAGAGCCAGTGCCTGGCAGGGCCCCGTGGCCTTTTGTGGCCGGCCTGGGAAGCCCTGCAGCCTCTCCTCCTGCACGCCCTGTGTGAGAAGCTGGTCAGGCAGGCCTCCCCTATTGGGGGGGAGGGGCTATGTGAAAAGGGGGGTCAGAGAACGTGTGGTCATGTTCTAAAATCATGACCACGCACATTTTAATGGATGACATTTTTACAAGTTGAGGCTGTACTGTGTATACAGGTTTTTAACATTTTCTTTCAAGTTTCTTGAATAGTGGGTAACCGTCTTTGATTCCCAACTTAACTGGTTTTTTATGTTCCTATTATTTTTGGTACGTCTGGAAAAAGACTTTTGATCTAAAACCTCAGGATCCCTTAACTTGTAGAGGTTCTGCTTTATTAGTATAGCAAAAGATAGCAGCCTTGGTGAAGACATGAGCCTTGTGGTCAGAAAGGCCTGCGTTTAAGTCTGGGTCCTCCTGTTCTCTAGCTCTGTTATCTGAGACAAATTAACTTCTCCAAGGCTTGCTCCCCTCTCCTCCCCTCCCCCTTCCCTTCTTTTTGTAGAACAAAAATAATAATGATGCCTTCCTCAGACGGCTGATGGGAATATCACTGAGGGAAGAGCATGGGGTGTTGTGAGCATGACTGGCCTGTCCTAAGTGCTGGCTGCTTTGAACAGATACATACAACATACCTGCTTACAGCAAATCAAATTGCATTATTTCATTTTCTTTACTAATGAAGAGTTTTAAAGTACTTTTGGTGATTAGTTAAAATTTAGAAAATTTCGTGCTTTTTCATGTCAGTGAATTTTTCACTTTTTATTTCACTTTTGATCATAGTTTAAGAGCAAAACAAAACGAACCTAATTAAGGGAATTACAAATATTGTTCACATTCCAAAGGCTCATCCCTGCCTTAGGGCCTTTGTCATGTAGCTGGTGGTCATGCTGCTGGTCATGCAGCCTGAGGTGTCCTGCTCAGGCTTGTTGGTGTCTTTCAAGTCCCTGCTCACAGGTCATTTTTTAATGAGGTCTTCTCTGTCCATCCAACAAATGTTTTTTCTCTTCCTGATCTCGTAATCAATTCTCTTAATCAGATTAACCTGCCTTATTTTCTTGTCCATTCATTTATTTTATTATTATGTCTTTACTCCACTCCTAAGAGTAGGGGCCTTATCTGGCATGAACTGTATAATACCCTAGCACCCAGAACAGTGTCTGGTACATTAGGGGTGTCTGGTAAATGTTTTTTCTACTGGATGAATCCATGAATGAATGGCTGCTTTCCCTAATCTGCCTATTCACTGGTACCTAGTGCAGATTATGTACAACTGTGTTTAGTCTGTTGTAGATTATGTAGAACTGTGTTTGTAAGTGCAAAAAATATCTTTTAGGATAAATAAAATTAAGTGTATGAAATGTAAATTTCATGGTGTTATGTTTTACTCTTTATAGGAAGAGTTTTTTCGTAATCCTCATGCGATAGATATTGAATCTGAAGACTTCATCAGCCTGCCTCTTGAAATAAAGCATGAAATCCTGACTGATATGAAAGAATTTACCAAGCGAAGAAGAACTTTATTTGAAGCAATGCCAGAGGTGAAATATACAACAGCACATCCATGCTTAGAATTAAGAACTACAGCAAGATTTTTCTTAGAAAAAAGGAAATTGATAAACATTACTTACATAATATCTGTTTCTAGTAAACAGCATTTGTGTCTCAGAGATCCTAGGAAGCATCATAAGTTTGAACTTAGAAGTTGAACTTAAAGGCTTCAAAGAAGCCTTCAGACTTACGCTTAAGACCAAGTCTTGCCTCCTACTCTGTATTCTCATAACACCCTGTAATCTTTCTTGATGGTTCTGAGCATCCTCATGTGCCTGTCTCACTGACTTCTGTAACTTCAGCACCTACATCTGTGTCTTTCACATAAGTGTTCAGTAGTGGTTCAATTCTTAAGTTAGTTCATAAAAGTTATTTTAACCTATAATATATGTTGTCCGTAGAATACTCATGGTAATATAGAGTCTAATCACAATGGAAAAGTATGTTCCAACTTGAAATTCCAGGTATTTCTTCCTTGGCTACAGGCCTAGAAATGCAGTTGGACCTCCTTCTTCCCTCTTCCTCTTTCTAGACAGTGGTAATAGAGAATCGAGTGGTAAATTCCACAACTTGGAGCATTTGTGGGGGCTCTACAGCCACAGAAACCTGGAGCCGGTGGTGTGCGTAGCTGGAGTCAAGCTTGTCTCCTGATCGTGCTATACCGTTAGCTAACTGCCAACTTTAGTGGGTGAATGAGCTTTGTTTCCCTTTCTACTGCTACCACTGATGATTTCTCACATCGTTCTCTAACTCACTGGAGGACAGAATATGCATTTTGTAGCAGCATTATTCCTGATGAATGGATGTAGTGATTTTTTTTCTACAGACTTTTGAACATTTCTTAAATTGATACCAAAAATATGAAAAAGGCAGAGAGGCGCTCTTCCCCATCACTCCTTTGTTTTTCCATGAAGTATGTGAACATAGGAAAATATGAAGGTATATAGAAATGATGTACAAAGGATAGGAGTAAATTTATTTTCATTTCAGGGGGAAAATCCAGGCTCAGTCTGTATCAAGTGCTTTATTTCTTAAGTGTGAAAGGATCTCTGACTGGCCTTTGAGGAGATACAATTCGGGTTATGTAAGCAAAGGTGGGAAGGCATGGGACAAAGGGAGACGGTCCCTAATGATTTTCTCCCCTTCGTTCTCTTCCTGCCACATGGAGCCTGGGACCTGTAGATGGCAGGGCAGTGTGGCTCCGCTGCTCACTGAATCTGTGCTTCTGATAGCAAAGGGAAGTTCTGAGTCAGCCAGGTCAGACCTTTGTGTCTTCTGTACATTGGACAAATGCAATGTTGATAATAGTAATGATGGTAAATAGTAGCATAATAGTATGATAGTAATAGAAACAATATAAGGTTGGCAGCCTGCTTTTGATCCCACATCTACCACTTAGTAGCCTTGCAACCCTAGGGAGGTTATTTCACCTGTTCGTCTCAGCTTCTTCATTTGTAAGTGGGGAAAATGGCATGTGTCTCGTGGGGTGGTTGGAAATAATATGCGAAGATACGTAAAAGCTCTTAGAATGCCTTCACAGGAAATGCTTTATAAATGTTAACTTATCATTAATAACTGTGACTGTTGTGATTTACAGGGTGTCTTTTAAAGGTCAGGGACTGTGCTAGGCACCTTACTTGCATATTTACTTGCATTATGGAAGGTCGCCTGTCTGTTAAGCCATGACCAAAGTGTCACAGTGCGTGGCGTGCATTACATGCTCAATAAATGTTGTTTGAGTAAATGGTTAAGTCATAAACAGTATCCATGATTTCTTTTGTCCAGTTCTTTCTGTTCTAAAGACTTTTTTTTTAATAAGGCAGTTACAGTTTTTTTGCTAGTATTCAAATTTTACTTTCATAATATGAAGATATCATCAATGGGAAAAAAATCAATTGTTCTTTGTCCCCTTTTGAGACATGGAAATGTGGGAATGTTATCTGTATTTAATACAAAAGAATTATTTATTTTCTTTTAGGAGTCTAATGACTTTTCACAGTACCAGCTCAAAGGCTTGCTTAAAAAAAACTATCTAAACCAACACATAGAAAATGTCCAAAGGGAAATGAATCAGCAACAGTCAGGACAAATCCAAAGACAATACGAAGATGAAGGGGGCTTTTTGAAGGAGATAGAGTCGAGGAGAGTGGTTTCTGAAGACACTTCACATTACATCTTGATAAGAGGTACCGGGCACCGTCACTTATTATCATGTTTCTGAATTCTATGCACCAGGCCCTACTTGTGCCGTCTTAAGTGTATGTAGCTGTTAACGAATTTCCTACTACTGTACCAACGCGCGTTATTTTTATTTCTGTAATTTACGACTTTAACATTTATTTAATTCCAGTATAATTAACATACAATGTCATATTCATTTCAGGTGTACAGTGTAGCCATCCAGCGGATCTATACGTTAGTCAGTGTTCGCAACCAGCCCACTTTAAAATTAACGAATTGACTCAGTGCTGATTAAATGAAGTTACAATTTCATTCATGAGAACCAGTATTGTTTTATTCATCATACTAGAAGTATATTGTCTCATTGGAAAACTACGGATTGAGAGAGATTTCAATTCTTCCCTAGGTGTTCAGGCTAAGAAGGCTGCAGAGGTGGGTTCGGAGGCTCCTCCTTCCAGCCAAGAGCACAGCAAGTATCTGGACGTGAAGGCCTCCCCTTGTGAGAAACTGGGCCCGCAGGAAGAGGCCGCCGCGCCTCCTTCTCCGGGAACGTCCCTGGCCCTGCAGGCCGCCTTGCTGGGGGGCAGCTCGGAGGAGGAGGGCGGGGGGCAGCCCGCCGCGCGCAGCGCACCCGTGTCACCGCGGACTCTCTGGGCCATTCAGAAGGCCCTTGAGGACGACGACGACGCAGAAGCGCAGACGGGGGCGGAGCCGGAGAAGCCCCCCGGGGACGGTCCCCCTGAGGACACCGCCGAAGGCCTGCGAGCGGGCGCTGGCACAGGGCCGCCGTTGCCAGCAGGGGCCCCCCTGACCCGCGTCCACTCGGCGCGGGAGCGCGAGACCCGCCCTGACGGTGGCCAGCGGCCGACCGACTCGGCACGTTTGTCACGGCCCGTCGGCGAATCTCGAGTTCCAGAGCAAGAAACGTCCCCGAGTCAGGTGGCCAGCGACGCCTTTCAGACGGCGGTGGGGCCCCGCGGTGGGGAACCCGCTCCCGCTCCAGCACCGCCCACGAGTTCAAGGTCAGTGTCGACGAACGACACACGCGCCAGTGTGCCTGGGCCGCAAGAAGACCTTCGTGCCGCCGGCGGTAAATATGATGAGTCCGCAGTTAGGGGTAGAGAAGACGCAGTTCCTTCAGAGGGCGCCGCGCCCCAGGGTGGGGAACCCGCTCCCCCACCGCCCACGAGTTCAAGGTCAGTGTCGACGAATGACACACAGGCCAGCGTGCCTGAGCCACAAGCAGACCTTCCTGCCGCCGGCGGTAAATATGATGAGCCTGCAGTTAGGGGTAGAGAAGACGCAGTTCCTTCAGAGGGCGCCGCGCCCGCACCCCGGGGTGGGGAACCCGCTTCCCCACCGCCCACGAGTTCAAAGTCAGTGTCGAGGAGGAATGACACACAGGCCAGCGTGCCTGGGCCGCAAGCAGACCTTTGTGCCGCGGGCGGTAAATATGATTCCTCTGTTCTTTCAAGCGAGGACGAAGCAGAATGTGAAAAAAGTCCTCTTTCTAAAATCACTGGCACTGTCGTTTTGCATGAAACGAGTAATATACAAAGTGTCCCTTCAGAGGCAAAAAGTAATTTCGAAAATGCGGGATCATTTGATGCTAAAGAGTGTGAGAATTTCCTGAAAACCATCCAAGAAGTCGAGACAGTGGAATTGGCAGACCAGGACTTCATTTCCCTTCCGAAATCTGCGGAGCCCACGGATATCGACTCTGAAGAAAGTGACTCTGACGGTAGGTGCTTGTGCTGGTTCAGAGGTGCGGAGCCGCGGGGTTTTCAGTCTGCAGGGACCGAGGGGTCCGTTAGTGTAGTCTCGTTCCTGCTTTATTCAGGCGAGGAACTAGGGACGCAGAGAGGTGAAATGACTTTCCCAAGGACAATAAGTTCTTTCTATTGTTTTTAAAAGGAGGGAGTCCCCCGCTCAGGCTCTATCTCTGTCTCTCTCTCTCAAAAATAAAGAATCACAAAGAAAGAAATTAAAGGGGGGCCCTAACTGGCTCAGTTGGTTAAGTGTTCAACCTGGGCTCAGGTCATGGTCTCGTGGTTTGTAGGTTTAAGCCCTGCATGAGCTCTGTACTGACAACTGGGAGCCTGGAACCTGCTTTGGATTCTGTGTCTCTTTCTGTCTCTGCCCCTCCCTTGCTCACGCTCTGTCTTTCTCTCAAAAATAAATAAAAAACATTAAAGAATTTAAATTAAATAATAAAAGGAGAGAGTACCTTAGTTGGAAAAGGTAAAGGTTTAGTTTTTTTTTTAACTTCTTGTTTTGAAATAATAACAAACTTAATAAAATTGAAAGACTATTACAAAACATTCTAGTTCCTTTACCCAGTACCTCAGTGGCTAGCATTTTACCACATTTGCGCCATCATGTCTCTTTGTCTATATGTATTTATACCTACATAGACTTCTATATGGCTGCTCCTTATTTTTTTTAATGTTTATTTTTGATAGAGAGGGAGACAGAGCGAGAGCGCACAAGGAGGGGAGGGGCAGAGAGACAGAGGGAGACACAGAATCTGAAGCAGGCTCCAGGCGCTGCACCGTCAGCACACAGCCAGACGTGGGGCTTGAACCATGAACCATGAGATCATGACCTGAGCTGAAGTTGGAGACTTAACCGACTGGGCCACCCAGGCGCCCCACATATGGCCGGTCCTCATTATTTACAGGTTTCTTATTTGCAAAGTTGCTTATTTACTAAAATTTATTTGTAATGCCCACATCAATACTTATCAGTAGTATCTTTGTGGTCATTCATGGACCTGAATAAAGTGGCTAACAGTTTGAGTTGCCATACTGTTCCCAGCTGAAGATGAACAAGGTGTCACTGTGTCTTGTTTCCCCTGTCCTACAGGGTGACCAGAGTGTGAGTATGGAAGGGAGCAGTGCAGTGTAGACCAAAAGCTGTGACTCAGGGGCTTCTTGGATGGGGTTTGAATCCCAGTTCTGCCACCTGTTAGTGGGGCAGCCCAGGCAAGTCTCTTAACTCTCCTAAACCTCATTTCCTCTTTTGTAAGATAAAGAAAATAGAATTTACCAAGATAGGTTGTTTTTAGGATTTGAGATTATAAATATATTTACTCTGTGAACAATGACTGTGGAGTCAGAGTTCCCAGTGACTATATAGAACATACTGCTGTGAATAACAAGAATTGACTATACACACACACAAGCTTTTTTCCTGGTGTCTGCTTGTTTCATTCCTTGTAATTAGTATTTCATGGAAAGGAATTTTTGAGGCTGTGTAAATAGGCTGTTTCTGAACAAACCTTTTTCCACTTGTTTTAGCATTCGTTGATGAATTTTACCTAAATAAATGATTACTGTGATGGTTGCCAAATGGTAGGGGTGGTTTTTTTTGTTTTTGTTTTTGTTTTTGTTTTTTTTGAGAGAAAGAGTGTGCATGTGTGCCAGCCAGGGAGGGGCAGAGAGTATCTTAAGCAGGGTCAGTGGCCAGCTCAGAGCCTGCTGTGGGCTCGATCTCACAACTGTGACATCATGACCTGAGCCGAAATCAAGAGCTGGACGATCAACTGACAGCCACCCAGGCTTCTTGCCAAGTGGTAGTTTTTTAGTTCCACTGTTCCTTATATACTTTTTGGTTTACATCTTTCTATAAGGAAGATTTCTCCCATTTTCCCATTATTTTTTTTATATCAGTGTGGACTCAAGCATTTATTATGATTATTGTGACTTATGATGCTGTCATACTTTATTGCTGGAATCGCCTTAGCTTTGGCCAGTGGGGACCCCTTCAGGCTGACTCCTGTGACTTTGGACAATTCCCCATTATGTTTTGGGCATTTCTTTACTTTCTGATCAAGAAATTCCAGACTTATTTTCTACTTTTCCTGCCCTGTCCCACCCCTGGATCCAACTAGTTCACCCAAAAGCCCTAGTTCCTTGTAATGGAGCGTGATGTTTAGAAACCCAAGATCTGACACGGAGTGTGCTCACCATTACTGGGGTGTCATCGCTTCAGGCCCTCTCAGGAACAAAGCCAGGAAATATATTTATGTGCACACACCCATCTATATTTATTTTTCTACAAATAAATATGAATTACATATATACAAATCTATGAGTTCATATTGATATCTGCATTCAAATCTAGTATCACAGATTTCATATTAGCCTCCACCTTTGTTATAATTTCCTTTCTGAACAGTGAGAAACTTTACTCACATTGTCCTTAATATATTAACTTATTGCTTATTCTCTCTTGATTTGTAACCATCTGATCCCATTGGTGTCCATTTTGGTCCTGGCTGTCTTCTTGGCCCCAGTCCCCATTATGAGATCTCCAGCCCATCTGTCGTTTTTGTATCCTGAAATCCACCCTCCTCCACCTGAAGGGAAGGAAGGGGATCAATGTTTTTTTAAGAAAAGAAAAGATGCAAGAGCGGAGGGAAGGCAAGTGGAAGAGAAGAGCTATTTCCCCTGAGTACTTATCCAGGATTCTTTCCACAAGTCACAGCTTTATTCTTTGCTTTGTGCATAGTGAAGTAGCATGAAAACATATTTAACAACCTACATGATTGTTTACATCCTCTGATTATTCTCCTTTTGAACTTTGAAGCAATATTAACTTAGAGAGCATATTTGTATAAAGCTTATATGCAGATCTTTGAAAACTTGGTTCCTAACTTCAAAGGCAGTGCCAGTTTATGTAATGGAAAAGGCTTATTGTGAAATTATAGACCTTTACTATTAAATATTTTTACTGTAATATGTTATTACATGTTTTCTATTAAATTCAAATCTTTTCAGGGTAAAACATTCTCAAAATTTTTAAAAAGTTTACTTATGTATTTTGAGACAGGGACAGCACAAGCAGGGGAGGGGAAGAGAGAGAGAGAGAGAATCCCATGATTTGAGTGAGATCATGATTTGAGCCAAAATCAAGAGTCGGGCACTTAACCGACTGAGCCACCCAGGTGACCCAAGGATAAATTATTTTTAAGGATACTTTGGAAAGCTCTCGATGATTTCAGGTTAATTTAAATGTTTCACTTATATAAAGTGATCTTGTTCATTTTGGTACAGGAAGTTTCATTGAAGTCCAGAGTGTCCCTAGTAGTGACGAACTTCAAGCTGAGTTACATGAAGCTTCCAGACCTCCTTCTGGACAAGATGAAGAGGAATCAATAGGAACTGAGACAGAAGAAGCCACTGCTGATTCCGAGGGCCTCCTAAGACACGACTCTGGAAGTGAGGCCTTGGATATTGAGCCATGTGAAGAAGCTGAAAAAGAGGCAGACAGTTCACTCAATGAATGGCAAGATATTAATTTGGTAATAATATGACACTGAGTTTTAACTTATTGCTAAGAAAGAGCCAAGTTAGGTAGCGTTTGAGCTTCAAGGAGTTACTGGATGAACATTTATTAGCTATTTGCATTTTTTCCCCCTTAAATAACACACTTACACTTTCATAGTTCTGGGGATTGGGCAGTCTGAGATCAAGGTGCAGGCTGGTGTTGGTTCCTGGTGAGGGCTCTTTCTGGCTTGTAGACAGCTGCCTCCTTGCCTCTTCCTTATATAGAGGGGCGGGGGAGGGGGCTGCTAGAGGGAGAGAGGAAGGAGTAGGGAGGGAGGGAGGGAGATCCCTCTTTTTATTAAGGCTACAATCCTATCAGATTAGGACTCCACCCTTCATAACCTCACGTAATCCTAATTATCTCCTAAAGACACCATCTGCAGATGCAGTCACATCTGGGTTTAGGGCTTTAACATGTGGGTTTTGGGGGAACACAATTCAGTCCACTGCAAGAACCACATACAGCAGCACCTAAAGGCATAAAATACTTGTGTGTCAAACTCACAACATATGTGAAGATACTTATTTCAAAATTGCAAACACTAATGATAGAAATTGGGGAAGACCTAAATACATGTGGTTTTGGATGGGGAGACTCAGTATCATTAAGATGCCACTTCTTCCCAAACTGACCCATAGATGAATGGAATTCCAGTAAAACCCAAGCAGAATTTTTTGATGGATATTAACAAGCCGGTTCTAAAATTTACATGCAAAAGCAAAGAAACTAGAGTAGTCAAAACAATTTTGCAAACGAAAAAAATTGGAGGACTTATACTACTTGATATCAAGATTTACTATAAGGGGAGCCTGGGTGGCTCAGTTGGTTAAGTGTCTGACTTTGGCTCAGGTCATGATCTCGCAGTCTGTGGGTTTGTATCTGTGCTGATAACTCAGAGCCTGGAGCCTGCTTCAGATTCTGAGTCTCCCTTTCTCTCTGCCCCTCCCCTGCTTACTCTGTCTCGGTCTCTGTCTGTCTCAAGAAGAATAAACATTAAAAAAAAAAAAAAAGATTTACTATAAAGCTGCAGTAATCAGGGCAGTATTTTATTGGCTCAAGGGTAGACACATGGATCAGTAGAACAAAATAGAGTCTAGCAACAGAACCAAACAACAATAATCAAGACAGTTTGCTCTTGGCATAAAGATAGACACATCGATCAACAGAACTTACTAGAAAGTACAGAAATGGATCCATGCATGTAGGGACAACAGATTCTCAACAGAGCTACAAAGGCAGCCGGATGGAGAAAGGACTGTCTTTTCAGTGGTGCTAGAAAAACAAAAGAGCTTTGGTGTCTTGTATCATATGCCAAAATCAACTAAAACATCACAAATTGTAGTTTTACACAAACTCTTGAAATGAGACAATGTGAAGTTGAGTCTTCTGACCTTGTTTTTTTAAAGTTGCTTCACTGTAGTAAATTCTGTGCATTTCCATATAAATTTTAGAATTAGCTTCTCAATTTGTATGAAAAATGCTTAAGGTTTGCACTGAATATACAGATCGATTTGGGGAGAATTAGCATTTTAGCAACACTGTATCTTCTGGGCTGGGAACACAGGATATATCTTGATTCATTCTGATCTTTTCAGTTTTCTTAGCAGGGTTTTGCAGTTTTCTATGCATCAGTCTTACACATCCTTTGTTATATTTATCTCCAAGTATTTTGATGTTAGGGAAATTGATTTTATTTTTTAGAATTCATAGCTTTTAGCATATGCACAGAATTCCGCAACCATCACAATTTTAGAATCTGTGCATCGCCTCAAAAAGAAACCCTGTACTGATTAGCGGTCACACCCCATCTCTTCCGCTCAGCCCCTGTGAACCACTCATTGATTTTCTGTCTCTGGATTTGTCTTTTCTAGACGTTTCATACAAATGGGATCATGCAAGTTGTGTCTTTTGTTTCTGGCTCCATTCGTTTAGCAGAACGTTTTCAAGGTCCATCCATATTGTAGTGTGTGTTAGTGCTTTCTTCTTTTTCTTTAAGTTTTTAATTGTTTTAAAGTTTATTTATTTATTTTGAGGGAGAGAGAGATAGTGAGCAAGCCGGAAGAGGCAGAGAAGGAGAGGGAGAGAGTGAATCCCGAGCAGGCCCTGCATCGTCAGCACAGAGCCTGATGCACGGCTCAGACTCACGTACCGTGAGATCACGACCTGAGCTACAATCAGCGGTCACACGTTTAACTGACTGAGCCAGCCAGGCGCCCCAGTACTTTATTTCTTTTTATTGCCAAACAGTATTCCACTGTATGGACACATACCACATTTTATTCATTCTTTTGTCCATTTGATGAGCATTTGGGTTCTTTGCCCTTTTTGGCTATCATGAACAGTGCTGCTCTCCTACAGGTTTTGTGAGGATGTAAGCTTTCATTTCTCTGTGGTACACACCTAGCAGATGGACTTGCTGGGTCACAGGGCACCTGTGTTTAATCTTTTGAGGGTTCATCAGGCTGTTTTCTAAAGTGGCTGCACATTGCCACCAGGAGTGCACAAGTGTCCCGCTTCTCCATATCCTTGTCAACACGTACTAATGTCTGTCCTTTTGATTTTGTCATCCTACTGGGTGGGAAGTGGCATCTCACACTCTGATTTTTAAAATTCAATTTGTGTAAAGTAAAAAAAAAAACCCAAACTCAACAGTTTACCCATTTCTTTCCCCTCCCCAGCCCCCCAGCAACCACCAATTTATTCTCTGTGTCTGCACTTTTTAAAAATTTTTTAATTAAAAAACTTTTTTTAGATTCTACCTATGAGAGAGATCAGATGGTATTTGTGTTTCTCTGATTTATTTTACTAGCATAATGTCCTCGAGGTCTAGCCATGTTGTCCCAAGAGGCAAGATTTCATTGTTGTTGTTTTTTTTTTTTTTTTTTATGGCTGAATAGTACTTTCACTGTATGCATGTATACCACAGCTTGCTTTCTTTCTTAAAGATCTTTGTATTTTAAGTAATCTCTACACACTACTTGGGGCTTGAACTCACAAGTGCAAGATCCAGAGTCCCAGGCTCTACCGGCTGAGCCAGCCCGCCCCCCACCCTCCACGGGTTCTTTACACGCAGCTTCTGTCTGTCTGCATCTTGTTCTTGCTGATGGCTCTTCTTTTATGTAGCTTCTCCACCTCCTGTGATTTAGTGAGGGAGCTACAGAAATTGTAGGCTTGCTCCGAAATCCGAGCGGAAAACGTCATAAGGAGGAAAGCTTATGTGGTAATTTATTCAGACTAAATGCAGCCTTTCTGTAAGAAAGGAGTTTCATTGGACTATTAATATGATTATCTAGAGATGAAATTACTTTATAGGAGGAACTGGAAAGTCTGGAGAGCGACCTGTTGGCACAGCAGAGTTCACTGACCGCACAGAAGCAGCAGCAGGAGCGCATTGCTGCTACCGTCACGGGGCAGATGTTCCTGGAGAGCCAGGTGGGTGTCCCGGCTCAGGCCTCCCTCAGCCGTGCCCGCCCCCTTCTCCGTAACCGATTCCCCGAGGGAGCCCGCTAAGGGAGCTGTTGACGTGGCTCCCATTGCTGGTCAAGGCCATCTGACAGGGGTCGTTGCGGGTCTGTCACTCTCCAGGAACTTCTTCGCCTGTTTGGCGTCCCCTACATCGAGGCTCCCATGGAAGCAGAGGCTCAGTGCGCCCTCCTGGACCTGACTGATCAGACTTCTGGAACAATCACCGATGACAGTGATATTTGGCTGTTTGGAGCCCGGCATGTCTATAAAAACTTTTTTAATAAAAACAAGTTTGTGGAATATTACCAGTATGTGGACTTTCACAACCAACTTGGTAAGGCTTCAGAGTATGGTCACTTTGAGATTGTGTCGTGACTTTTTTGCTTTCCGAGGAACTACTTTAATGTATTCGTGGAAATGGTAGGTCTATACCCGTTCTCACGTACGTGATCTTTTGCTTATGTAGAGGAATAGGATTTTTGAATTAGAATTAAGAATTAAAGCCCTAGTAATGGTTAGGCCTGTTCTGCATTTTTAATTACCTGACCTGCTTAGACTTTGCTTCCCTGAGGTCTCCAGAGTAAGTGGGAGGTGGCAGGGATGGGGCGGCAGGTGGGAGTCACCCCTGCTGGGGTTGTGAGCTTCGTGGCCCTCCGTCAGCTCCTCTGGGTATGTGTCGATTCCCCTGGCCAGTTGTTGTTCTTGGCAGTGGGGAAACAGCGGAGAATGAAAGTCTGGTGGGAGAAACAGATGATAAGTGTAAATCATAATTTGACATAAGTACCGTATAGAAAAATAAAGCTATGAAAGAGGAGAGGGCGACCTGCAGGCACAGGAAGTGTGTGTTGTCGTATATAGAGTTGTGGTAACGAAAAGCTCTACTAATAGGTAACTAATAGGTAGCGAGTGTTGTACATACCTTAGGGATGAGCGTGTCAAAGGACCTAGAGAGTGCAGAGGCCCTGAGGCAGAGGCTTGCTTGGTGTGTTCTAGTAAAAATGTTAAAAAATATAAAATGAGTTTTACTTTCATAGGACTAGACCGGAGCAAATTAATAAATTTGGCCTATTTGCTTGGAAGTGATTATACAGAAGGAATACCAACGGTAGGTTGTATTACAGCCATGGAAATTCTCAAAGAGTTCCCTGGACACGGCCTGGAACCTCTCCTAAAATTCTCGTAAGTTCTTTGTTAATTTCTTTAATTCAGATGTTTGTGTAAGTACGTAATGTAACAAACAGAACCATTATTTACATTATGAACTGTTGCAAATCACTGTTCATTGGGAAAACAGGAGGGATTGATTGGGTTATGAAATTTGTTTTCCCTTTTCTATAGTTCAGTGAAATCTGAGACAGTGTTTTTAGAGGCACCAGGCTTATCCTAGTTCAAGGGTATATAGCCAGGCCTGTGGGATGTCCTAGGCCAGTAGAAATTTCCATTTCATTCATTCAGATAATTACTGAGTAGGTACTATGTGTCAGACAGCCTGTGAGGCTGGGGTAGGAGCGATGGCTGAGTCTAGGCTGCGCTCTCAGGGGGCTCCAAGCTCTCGGGCGAGAAGAGAAGCAAACGCGTACCTGTATTTGTGTGCGTGACGAGTTCTGAGCGGTCAGCCAAGGCGGCGTGGAGGTATGATGCTGTCCTCCTCGCTGCGTGTACTCAGGTGTGTCCAGTGGTGGGGCTGCCTCCCAGCCAGAGCCAGGGTTGTGCTGTCCTTGGGGTACACTTGTCCATGATGGGGGTCCCGAGACGCTGGTAGTGAGGACTATGTCTGTGAAGGTCCTTCTTTTCCAGGCTGGTCCTCGATGGCATTAAAAAAAAAAACTTGGACTGTAAGTCGCAATACTATAGATTTCACAGTGCAGTGGTTTTTAGTCCATTTGTGAGGTTGTGATGGCATTTCTAACCTTGTCACGAGATACTGTTTGGTAGTAGTTGACTTAATGATTCTTCAGAGTTCTTTCCAGATATAGCTCCTGTGTCTGAAAAAGACTCAGATGTTCTGCTCTAAAGGATCAGGGATTAAAATTAAAACTTAAATACGGAAATGGTTTTAATGTTTGCTGTACTGCAGCTGTGGCACACACACCAGTGTATTGATTTTATGCTTTCTCTATCTCTCTCTTCATAATTTGCATAGTATTGAGGAAGTAATATACCGGGAGTAACTTACTGGGTAGCTCGTATGTCATGGTATATCAATAACTTGAAAAACTACAAATAACTTTATTATACAAATAATTATAGAAAAATTATGAAATGAATTAAAACGATGGTTACAGTTAACAGTTTGGTTTATATAACTTTAGACTTTTCTATGTACAGTATACTCTATCCATTATATATATACAGACACATACATACGTGTGTCCTCATATGAGTGTGTATTTCTTCTTATAAGAATGGGATGATGCCATCTACTTTTTACAGTGTATAGGTTATTATCAGGGTCTTTTAAAATTTTTATTTATTTATTTATTTTTTTTTTTTTGAGAGAGAAGAGGGAGAGAAAGAGAACAAGACCACGAGCAGGAGAGAGGGGCAGAGGGAGAGAGAATCTTAAGCAGGCTTCATGCCCAGCACAGAACCTGATGTGAGTCTTAGTCTCATGACCATGAGATCATGACCTGAGCTGAAATCAAGACTTAGCCGTTTGAGCCACAAGATGCCCCTAGTGTCAGTTTTTAATGACTCCGTGGTAGTCTTGATGTGTCATGATTAATTAATTAGATGCCGGTTGTTATTTTTATTTTTTTAAAGTCTAAACAAGCATGACTTGAGTGTCTTTATAGACATAGGTTTCGGTTCTTGCCTGATTGTTCTTTTAGGATAAGTAAAAATGGTATTTAGCTTTTCAGTTTGATATCCCAATTTTTTTTGTTGGTTGAAAACTTGCATTTGTAATACAGTGAATGCCTGTTTATGCCGTTCTTTTTCTCCCAACAAATTTAGCTTGTTTGTTGTCAGTTGAGTGGTGTACATTTTCAGAGCCCGCTGAGCCGTCTCTGCTGGTCGTCGGCAGAGAGCAGCATCAGCCGTGCCTGGCCCGGCAGCGAGAACACCGAGAACACCAGTGCGGAGGGAAAGGGCGGGAAGGGAGGCAGAAGGGCAGGAAGATCGCCCATGTTGCCTGTTTTCTCTTCTGCTTCCCTTTCTCCCCAGCTGACTGTGGCCAGTCCCCGCCGCCAGCCCTGAGAGGTGGAGCCACTCTGGGCCTGCCTGCTGGGCTCAGCGCCGCTGGGCATCGTTTGGCCCACAAAAAGGGGCTTCGATTTTGAATTGGGTGCCAACATGTAAATTGGCAGGTTTCACAGAAAATTTGGAGGAAATGGGATCTGAAAACACTGGGCCCAAATAGAAAGAGCAGGGCCGGAGAACAGCAGTCCAGCCAGCTGGCCTGGCCGGGGCACAGACCCTTCAGTCTTACGACAGCCACCCAGCTCCCTCTCCTGGCCCCACGGCTCCTGTCCCCAGGGCTCCTGGCCCCACGGCCGGCTGCGTCTTATGTGAGTGCCTGGCCCTCTTGCTTTAAGGAGGTAGTGTGATGTGTGCTCAGCGTGTTGTGCGGATCCTCCTAGCTGACAATCCTAATTACTTATCTCAGAGGAGAAAACTCAAAAGAGAGTGGGGAAGAATGACAGGTATTCTCTTTGTGCGCTCTTGGAAACAGTATCGTAAAACAGGGCGTGTTTTCCGATTTTCATTTTGGTCCTGCAGTGGAAACTGCAGTTATATTTTTCAACACTAGATGGCGCCCCAGCATCGGTGAGGTGGGGCCAGCTGCGAGCAAATCTGAGGGTTTCTTTTTTTATTTTTAAAATGTTTTATTTATTTTAGAGAGGGAGATAGAGACAGCGTGAGCAAGGGAGGGTCGGAGACAGAGGGAGTCACAGAATTCAAAGACAGGCTCCAGGCCCTGAGCTGGCAGTCAGCACAGAGCCCGACGTGGGGCTCGAACCCACGAACCGCGAGATCATGACCTAAGCCGAAGTCGGATACTTACCTGACTGAGCCACCCAGGCGTCCCATGAGTTTCTAATACTAATAGTAAATTAGTATGTGAAGCAGTGGAACATGAGATAGAGGTTTTTTTTTTTTTTTAATTTTTAAATGTTTTATTTATTTTTGAGAGAGAGAGACAACATGTGCAGGGAAGAGTCAGAGAGAGAGGGAGCCACAGAATCCGAAGCAGGTTCCAGGCTCTGAGCTGTCAGCACAGAGCCCTACATGGGGCTCGAACTCACTAACCGTGAGATCATGACCTGAGCCGAAGTCGGACGCTTAACCGACTGAGCCACCAAGGCGCCCCCCCCCTTTTTTTTTTTGAAGTTCCATTGAAGGTGTATTCGGTGAGCGTTATCTTTATGGTTTTATTTTAACTTTATGCCGTTCATTTTTTCTAAATGTTATCAGTTTTTCTGGTTATCTCCTGCCGTATTACAAAATACTTTAAACCTCAGTGGCTTCAGTGGCAGCCAGTGATTTTGCCCACGAATCTGCAGTTGGTGGGGCTGCGTGGACGTGTCTTGTCGGATTCCACGTGTGTCTAGGGGTGGCTTAGCTGGGCTAGAGGACCCACTGGAGACGGAGCCCTGGGTTGGGCCCACGGTGCCGACGGTCAGCCAGGGGCTCAGCCAGAAGGGCAGCCCAGTCCGTCTGGACCTCCTCAAGAGCCGGGGCGTCCTCACCGTATGTCAGCTGCTTCCCAGGTGGAGTCTCTGAGGGTCAGGTTGCGGAAACTGCAGCCCCTCCAGACCTGGCCCAGCATCACTTCACGGTCACAGAGCCCACCTGGCTTGAGGGAGGGGCCGCGGACCCCACTTGTGGGTGGCAGGAGTGTCTTGAACTTGCCATGGTAATTTATGCACACAATAAATTCAGAAAAAACTGAAAAAGGAATAAAATATGAAGAAGACCACGAACAGCTCTGTCCTAGCTTAGAACATTGCCTAACACAGTAAAATAATGGTTGTTACTGTTTTTCTTATTTTAAATTGCCCTGTTTATTTTTTCTCTTTCCCCACAGGTATGCATTTCCCCCCAAATTGACGTCATACTTTATATAGAGTCCTGTTCTGCATTTTTAAAAATTTAACATGTTTTTGGCATTTTTACATATTCTTAAATATTCTTGCATTGTTACTGTAGTTGGTTTGAGGCAAATGATACATTTTACTTCATTTTACCTCTGAGAAAGAGACCCGGAGAAGCTGTGGGCTCTGGAGGGAGATTCTCAGGGTCTGACCATAGCAGTCCCGGCTGCGAGGTGTTGTGACTAGAGACTTCTGCTGGTGTTCTGTTTCTTCATCTGTGACATGAGGACAGTGGTCAGACTGTGCTCGTGTGACAGTCTGGCATGTCGAACAGCTACGTCAGGGCCGGGCCGGTAGGCGCTCAGTCAGTGTTTGCCATCGTTACATGTTGTGGTGACGAACATTCAGAATAATACAGCTCTTCCTCAGTGGGTCATAGGATTTGTTCTGGATGTTCTGGAGATGGGCTGCGAGCTTGCATCTTACGTCTAAGTACAGGCCTGAATCTGCAGCATATCCACTGTAATGTCGTGGCCTGTCCCCTTTGTCTTCTAGAGAGTGGTGGCATGAAGCTCAAAATAATAAGAAGATAAGACCTAACCCTCATGACACCAAAGTGAAAACAAAGTTACGCAAGCTGCAGCTCACACCTGGCTTTCCGAACCCCGCTGTGGCAGACGCTTACCTCAGACCCGTGGTGGATGACTCCAGGGGCTCATTTCTGTGGGGGAGGCCGGATCTCGACAAAATTAGAGAATATCCTTTTACTCTTAAAACATAAAGGGACACTGAGCAAAGTGTGTGTTTCCATTGCAAACTGAGGGAACATGAACTAGGATCAGCTTTTTCTTAAGATCCTGTTTATCTAAGATGCTCCTTCTTCTCTCTCCTTAGGATTTTTTTTTTTTTTTTTTGGTGTGGTTAAAATACACACAACAGAATTTATCATCTTAAGATTTTAAATGTACCCTTCAGTGCCGTTACACACATCCATACTGTTGGGCACCGGCCCCTGCCCTCCACCCCCATATTGTTTTCATCTGAAAAGAACTGAAACTGTCCCCCTCGAACAGTAACTCCCCATCCACCTCCACTTGGCCCCTGGTCACCACAAGTCAGCTGTCTCTGATTCGACGACTCTGAGGACCTCCCAAAGTGGAAGTATGTCTGGCTTATGGCACTTAGCATCATGTCTTCAAAGCTCATCCATGTTGTCATGTGTGTCAGAGTCTCCTTCCTTTTATGGCTGAATCATACTCCGTTACGTGGATGCCCCACATTTCGCTCATCCATCTATAGCTGGATACTTGGGTGGCTTCCGTGTTTTAGCTATCATGAATAACCTCTTTAGTGTTGAAGAGGGTCTTTCTGGAAATAAGTAGTGATAAACATTCATAGATACTACCACATAATAAGTATTCATTCATTCTGAAAGAATAGAAAAGATTATTGGTTTTGTTCTTTATTATTATTTATATGTTCCTTTCTGCATATTTAAATAATCACTTGGATAGATGTTTAAACGTTTAATAGTATTAGTCTAACCACAGTATTTTTCTCCCCAAGAAGTATGTATGATATCTGAAACTTGTTAATCTAGGTTAACTGTGCTTCGTACTAATGAGTCTTTGATGAGAATTGGATATGTCGTGTCTTAGAGGATGTTGAAAAGGACACAGTGCCACGTGATTGTGTTGCAGAATTTGTCATTCTTTTCTTTACCTCTCTATTCTTTATAAATATGAAAATCTTTAGAGATCTGGGGAATGGAATTAGGCTGAGTTCTTTGTACCTTTTTATTTATCACTTGTTTAAATATCTTTAAAAGCACGTAGAAGCCTTAACTGCCTGCATATTTTGTCAGCGTTATTTTGGCTGGAACAGGACGAAGACAGATGAGTCCCTGTTTCCAGTATTAAAGCAACTGAACGCTCAGCAGGTAATCCTGGGAGCTCTGTTCCTAAATTCCGGGGGAGGAGTGAACTCAGGAAGGCTGTGAGTGGCAGCTCTTATAGACCAGTTACTCTTTTATTTTAGGGCATATGACATGCATTTTTAAATTATTATTCTTTAGATAAGAGAACAGAGGAAACAGAAGAAGAGAAAACCGCACTGTCTTCATTTTTGAATTTCACTCTTAAGCCTGGACTTTGGTGTCTTTGCATATTCATTCTGACTTTGAAAAAAACTGGACTAATAATGGATCGCACATGGAGATGTTTATGGTTGAATATTTTGCTTTTTCAGAGCTATTTTCATTTTTTGAAAGTCTGGGAAGTGTCTAGTCCAGAGCAATCCTGATCATTAAATCCTTAAGTACGAATGCTCCTTAATTCTATATGTGAATCATCATCATTATGGCATGTTGGCAGGAGAGATTTTTGAGGAGAAACAAGGCCTTTGTATGGCCCTCAGTTCTCCTGAGTTGGTATGTTAATTGTGTCTTGCTCATCTGTGAGTATGTTCCTGCCCACACAGAAAGCTGTTCCCGCCCAGGAACAACTTCCAAGATATTTCTCCTGAATGGTTTACCTGTGCATACGGACCGTATCCTGTAAGATACATATATTTATGGTTTTCCTGTGCATACGGGACCGTATCCTGTAAGATACATATATTTAAATCTATTGTCATCAAGGTCAATTAGTCTTGAAAAAGCACAAGTAAAACTGAGGTAGAGAGCCCTTCCAGAAAGGGTCTCCTGTTGCTTATTTGAGGACTGTCTGTAATACAGACATTGACTGCCAGCAGACTCGGAAAGCTTGTTGGCTTTATTGAAATATATTTCTTCCCTTACCTTGTAGAAGTTAGTATAAATTTGTTTCCCCAAAATTAGAGAGTGAAAAAAATGAATTAAAATTATCTATTATTTACTTTCTCTGACAAAGATGTTAACATTTCGGTCTATTTTCTTTTATTTCCCCCCTTCTCCTCGTTCCCACATAGATTTGTTGTCACACATAAGTGCAATCTGATAGATCTGGCTCCCCCCCATAATCAAAGAGGACTATTTTCTGTGTATTGCACGGTTTTTGTAATTTCAAATGACCAGATTGCATTTCATCAAAGAGATTTCACTTACTGCTTTAGTTCACTTAGTAGGCCCTCCATTTTCAGGTTTTCCTAAATCATGTGTTCTGTGAGGAACATTAGGCATAAAGCTTTTCCCGAATGTAACTGTCCTTGTAAAAGTGGATTTGCTAACAAAACGCATGCCTGTTTCCTACGACTCCGAATGCACAATGCTGTGAGCTGTCTCCTCTGTGTGTCGCATGAGCATGATGTGTTCAGAAGAGGGGAAGACAGGAATTTAGAGACAGACCCCATGACACTGTGTTGCCCCAAAAGAAGATGGTATTTTTGGCTTCTGGGAAATATGTAACTCTCATTAAGTGCCTTGGAAGGGGGTCCTTATTTGAGATGTGGCTTTGGGGCTGACAGAGGTGGTACAAGTACTGCTTTAAGTATGATCCAGAAAATAAAATCTACTGTCAGCAAATCATGTCGGAGAGATTTGGCTTTTGAGACAGAACGAATTCATATTCTCTGAGAGTCATCCAAACTGCTGATCAAGGTGGAGCTCTTTGATTTGCTTTAGAAAGCTTACCTACTTGCCTGATTTTTTATTTCATTTCATTTTTTTAGACACAGCTCCGAATTGATTCTTTCTTTAGATTAGCTCAACAGGAGAAACAAGATGCTAAGGGTATAAGGAGCCAGAGACTTAACAGAGCTGTGACATGTATGCTGAGAAAAGAAAGAGAAGAAGTGGCCAGTGAAATAGAAGCCGTGTCCGTTGCCATGGAGAAAGAGTGTGAGTTCCCTGATAAGGCACAGGGGAGAACCCAGAAGAGAAGCCGGGAGAATAGACAGAAAGAGTCCTCAAACCTGAAAAGAAAGAGGCTTTCGGATTCTAAGCAACAGAGTGAACATGGCGGGTTTCTGGGGGGCGCCTGCCTCTCGCCGCCACCCGGGGCATCTTCAGGGGAGGATGCTGAGTGTGTATCTTCAGCGAGCCTGCGAAGTGGGAGCATGGCCCAGGAGCCCCCCGCCAGCCGTCCGGCTTTGCGGAGCGCGGCGCGCCCTGCCCCCATCCGCATTGAAGACTCGACCAGCAGCAGCTCCAGTGACGATGACCGGGCAGGGACAGCACCAGTGCTGGTGACTGCCAGATCTGTGTTTGGGAAGAAAAAGGGCAAACTGAGAGGTAGCAGAGGGAAAAAGAGGAAAAGCTAATTTAAACCAGTGTGTTCCGTGTCATCGAGCATAACTTAACATCTCGTAATGAATTCGTTGTGATGAAATAGAACAATTAAAAGTATTGGCACAATTTTTGTATTGTGTGGTTTGTAAAAATACAGATGCGGACCTTGACAGTTACTTGTTTTCTAATATGTCACATTTTTCTAGTGTTTTCCACGTCATTGACTATGTTCTTGTATTCCATTTCTATTAGCATACGGTGTCTGATGCTTTCTGACCGCACTGACAGTAAGGAAGGGATTTCTGTTGGTCAGTAGTCGCTGTCTGTACGCATCCCCCCCCAGCCCCGACTTCCTGACCCAGAGGAGAGGAAAGATGTCCTTACTTCCTATTCCATAACAGTGGCAGTTTCCCACAACTACATGAAGTTCCGTCCCCTGGGGCCACGTGAGAGGAGAGCAAGAGGGAACTTCACTTTGCTGCAACATCCTTTGAAGAGTATGTTTGCTGTGGTTCTAGCAAAATAATGAGGAAGCCGCGATGGGGTGCGTGATGCCCCTGTGAGGTTCCCTCCTGTGTATGGGAGCCTCCGTACCGCAGTGTTTCTCTTTTAAAATAAGTTGGTTGTCACAAGCTGACTTCTGTGTAAATGGCTGTGGGGGCTCAGGACCGTGGCTGAACCGGTGTAGGTGGGTGACTTCAGGGCTGGCTCCCAGAGCTCAGTTACTGCTGACAGACACGGTCCTCCAGAGTGGCCCAGCCACGGCGAGTTTATTGCTGCTCCTGCTGAGTCCTCTCCCCACTGCGCCTGCCAATGTCCTGACTGCTTACAGTGAAGAGCAGGCTGCGAGTAGGCCGGCGGTTACCTGGAGCCTGGGTTCCTTGGCCTTCAGAGGTACCGTCTGCCCAAGTCTGTGTCTTTTCTGACATCTTTGGTCTTTCTGTCTTGGCTGATTTTCTTCCCTCTGCCTTCAAATAATAGAAATCATCACCGATGAATACTAGATGCAGATACCTTTCAACAACCGTCGGCTGACTGCTGGCTGCTTTTTCTTTAGGCTTTTGTTTATTTTCACCTTTTAGCCCAACTTCTCAAATACTTGATCTGCAGCTCCTGCTTTGCCTTGCTTATTACTTATTCGTTCCTAATTTGAAATGTCTCCTCTGCTTATATCAGTCTTTAGCAGCTTTCTTCTAGAGTTGACCATGACTTCCGTGTAAATATACTCGGATCTTTTTTTAATGCTTCTTTTCTCTGGAGGTATTTGAAGCAGAACACTGTTTTAGGGATGGGATGGGAGGACATTAACTTTTTTTAATATTGTTCTCATTCCTCAAAGCTACCTAATAATTGGGAGTTTTCTGCCTATGTGTTTGTAGACAGTACTTTTGTAAAAATTGAATTTTGTTGCCTTTAATAGATACTTTACATTTGTTTTGCCCTGCAGTCGCTGGGGTGAAGGCTGAGCTGCTGTAGCAAAGAGGTGCTGCAGTGGCCTAGATAAGCTCGACCATTATTCATCTCCTAGTCAATAGGCTGGCCAGTCTGAGCTGGATAGGCAGCTGCCCACCACAAGGTCATTCAAGGTCCCGGGATCAGCCATCCCCTAGGTTGCTGTCGTTCTTGAATGGCCGAGGTCCCTGCTCCATCTCCCTCTAGCTGCTCTTTGGTTGGGAAGTTAGCCTCTTGCCCTAAACATCTCATTGAACAAATGCCTTGAGTGAGGAGTCAGTGCTCGGTGTCAGGTGTATTTCTCTTGCTTCCTGGGATCTTGGGCCCCAATTCCTGGCTGCCCCGCTGGCTCCAAACACCGATCTTGGTCCCCCTGGTCCTGGGACATCTCCTGGAGTCCCCCTGGCATCCTTCCCATTGTCTTCCCTTCTGCTGCTCAGCCTCTATCCCAATGATCAGCAAAAGCCTGGAATTCTTGGCTGCCTAGGCAACTCTCGACTTCTCCTGTGTGTGTGTGTGTGTGTGTGTGTGTGTGTGTGTGTATGTGTGTGTGTGAAATTTGCTTTTCTAGTTCTCAGGAGCAGAGGTGGGCTATAAGCTACTTACAGCTGGAGGCAGAAGTGTCCATGTAGTTTTCAGACAGTTCAGTGTAACTGAAATAATCATTGTCATCATGTCACTTTAAATGATCAATTTAGGGATTCTGCCTCTTAAGAAACCCAGCACTCAGAACTCGTGATCTTTTAATAACCCCTGGAAAAAGGCAGGTTATTAAAAAAAATTTTTTTTTTAAATGTTTCTTTATTTTTGAGAGACAGACCGAGCGTGAGCAGAGGAGGGTCAGAGAAAGAAGGAGCCACAGACTCTGAAACAGGCTCCAGGCTCTGAGCTGTCAGCACAGAGCCCAACACGGGGCTTGAACTCACAAACTGCGAGATCATGACCTGAGCTGAACTCTAACGCTTAACCCATTGAGCCACCCAGGTGATTTTTATTCACCAAATGATTCTTTATTCTTGTTTTAAAGAACGCCAAAAAGAGAGCATGCCCTCTGCCCAGAATTAACCACCGATGAATAGTAATTTTCATTGTTTAGGATTTTTCAGTTTGCAGAATATTTTTTTACCTGCCATCTTAATCACACAAATACATATTGAGTATCTTTTACATCCCTGTTTTATAGATGAGGAAGCCAAGGAACATTAACTAAATGTCTGAAATCACAAGCAGGTTTATTGACAGGGCTAATTAAAATCAGGCTCCCAGACTGCTAGTCGTGTCCAATATGTTAGCAGTCAGCTTTGTCTATACATCACGGTAGGCAAAGTACTTCTTAGAAGCTCTACTCACAGTCCACTAAGTTTATTAAAGTTTGTAGTTTTGCTCTATTTTGTTATCTATTGTGACTTCTTTTTTTTTTTTAATTTTTTAATTTATTTCTGAGAGAGAGAGAGAGAGACAGCGTGAGCAGGGGAGGGTCAGAGAGAGAGGGAGACACAGATCTGAAACAGGCTCCAGGCTCTGAGCTGTCAGCACAGAGCCCGATGCAGGGCTTGAACCCACAAACCGTGAGATCATGACCTGAGCCAAAGTCGGACGCTTAACTGACTAAGCCACCCAGGCGCCCTGTGATTTCTTTTTAAGGGTGTTTTCAGGGCCTGGGGAAATGTATACCAAAATATATGTGCTCTGCGATGCAGCCAGGCGTATACGGGGGCAGGTGCACAGGTGACCCACACCCTCTTCCTTCCTATTCAGTCTGAGCAGGAAGGAATTGAAATTTGATGCCTGTGCCCAGGGCACATTCTCTAATGTTCTGGCCTGGTTGTGTGATTCTAAAAATGATATTCACACCCGGGCAGGTGACCTAAACAGTCCGCAGCCTCCGCCTCACAGGACGTCACAGCTGTGAAGTCTTACATAACCCTTGTCATCGAGGTCCAAAAATGGGTGTCTTTGCTCACATCATCTTCACTGCCTTGTCCAAATGGCTTACATTCACCTACTGGCTCCAGCTCTATTCACGAGACACTCGCATGGAATATTCCTGCTCTTCTTCAGCCCCCTTGTTTACAGGCATCCCAGCCTCCTTGCCGTGTACCCAGAGGCTCCAAAAGCCGCAGCTGTCAGGGTCCTAATCCCTTACGCGAGGACTCGCTGCCAGTGTATATACATAGCAAACTGCATGCTCCTGGGCTTGCCTTTCATGCACCCTCAGTGGTCTCTCCAGCCAAACAAAAGTTGTGGATGATACTTTTTAAACGTCTAGAAACTCAGCCCACCCGTTTAGGTATGTCTGGACTTCGCATTTAATAAATGTTGACCTTCAGGCAGACACGTGTAATAAAGACTGCGTCTTTTACTGGAAGAGGAACGAAGTCGGGGACAGAACGTGTGGCCACTGTTCCTCTTGTTTCGCCAGCGCCCGTGGGGATGTCATTTGACTTTTTGTCTTCTTTGTCAAGGGTGGGGAAAAGTCTTCTAACTTATGGAGGCATACTGCCAAGAAAAATGTGGTGGCCGTGAAAAGTGTTTGGGGATCCTCGGTAGAAAGGAGTGCTGTGTAACTCCCTGGTATTACAGGGATTGTGTATGACAGGAGCCAAAACTGAGATGCCAAACATCAAATCATCTCTTCCCTAAATTGTAATAACAGCTCGTTTCAGCTTGTTCACAGGATACGGTCTATTTGAGAGGCACAGAATAATTAATTTTAAGCATGTTTGCTGAGCTGGTATGGATTCTTCAGAGTAGAAGCTACTTAACAGACCATTTGGTGGCGGAGCTATTAGACACTGGGTACTACCTACTAATACACTGATGGAAACCAGTGAACTTTGCATCTGCTGCGATTTCAGATTAGTACTGAGGTTTTCATTACACCGGGCGAAATCCTTTTTCTCCCAATGTTTTAATCACTTCTTAAATGTTAAGATTGCCATCTGACCAGTCAGTATAAAGATGACGCCTTTCTTTGTGACAGCTGAGGTAGTCTTTGGTGAAGGATATGTTTTCTTTCTCCAGTAGCTTCTGACACTTCTGACTCTTCTTTGTCCGAATTTTGATTTGTGCTGCAAAGATGGTGTGGTGGTGGTCTATCTTAAATCATGGTTTATCAATATATTAAATTTTAATATAATTAATATAATTTTAATTATATCAATATATAATAAAATTAATATAATTTTCGATCTAGATTTGATGTTACTTAAGCTTCACTAGGTAAATATAAAAACACTTAACACACTTGAATTAATCATTACCATTTGATATTTTATTTTATCATTTGCCTAGTTTTCAAGAAATGATCAAGAAAGCATCAATATATAGCCATCCATTAGTTCATCACTTAATGGATCCAGGAGCTCAAAAAGGTAAATTATTTTGTTTCTTTATGTAATTTGACCAATTCTAAGAAGACAAACAACCAATAGAATAGAAGTGCTTACCTTTGTGGTGTTTCTTAATGTCTTTTTTTTTAAAGTTTGTTTATGTATGAGAAAGAGAGAGAGAGAGAAAGAGAGAGAGTGAATCCCCAGCAGGCTCCGTGCCTGCCTGAGCCACCCTGGCACCCAAGCATCTTTTTTTTTTTTTGTAAAAGAAAGGGGCGGGAGGTGGGGGGAGCAGAGAGACAGGGAGAGAGAACCTCAAGCAGCCTCTGCAGTGTCAGTGTGGAGCCTGACTCAGGGCTCGAACTCACAAACCATGAGATCATGACCTAAACCGAAATCAAGAGTTGGTGGCTTAAGTGACTGAGCCACCCAGGCACCCCAGTGTTCCCTAATGTCTTAAAGAGAGCCAGGACTTCTCAATTGCATATTGTATCTTGGCTTGTATTTGAGAACCTGACAATATCTAGAATAATGTGTGATGTCTACTGCTATGCCTATGGTCCTGATGATATGTTAGAGATAATTTTCACAGACAAATTAAATATATAGACTTGCTAAGTACTTGGAGTTTTGTTTTTAATAAGAAAAAGTAGAATAAATTTTTTCCCACGTGCTATACACTAAAGACATGATTATGATTTCTAAGTGATTTCTTTTTAGATAGGAAGAGAGAAAAAAATAGTTTTGGATAAGACTACAAGTTTTTATGAATGCCTGCATGAAAGACGATTTTGGACTATAAAAACATTTTAAGCCTGTGTTTATGGTTCCTCTGATGTATTAATTAGAGAAAAGTACATCATGCAATTTGATCGCTCAGGAGAATTAGAAGTTTGAATTCTGCTACAATAGTAATTTGAAATTGACCACCCCCTTATTTTTACATCATTTTAAATATCAAGAGTGACGTTATATGAATTGTGTAATGTAGCTGTCCCCAGTGCCTTGTGATAAAAGTGCAGACAGATGCTCTGAAAGCCTTGGAAAGCGACTACTATGTTTTTGCAGAACATTTGTCGTACAAATTTAATTATCTCGGCTTCTTTCTTCTTCTCTCTCCTTTATCTACACGCTGTGGAAGTTTTCTATGAAATGTAGTCCCGTTTCTTTATTTTTCCTTTTTTAGGCCTGCCAGGTGGGCTCTGCCTAGGTGAACACATCTTTAGGCCGAGAGAGCTGGGTATATGCCCAGTGTTGGCAGCCTATGTGGCTCCAACACACACGGCTTTACTGTAGTGATTTCTGCAAACCTAAACATTTAAAATCGCGATCCCTTGGAGAATCCAGCCGTTGAGGTGATTTGAATGAAGATGCAATTTCTGTGCAGTTTATGAATAAAATTTCGTCATTAGCATTATCATTAGTAACAATACGTAGTTTCAACTGTGGGTACAATAATTTGGCAAATTACAAAGGAAATGGAAGAAGTTCAAGGTAAGGTTGAGACAGAACTAGTATTAAAATATTTTATAACACGAGAAAACACACCCTATAATCATCTACGTAGCCAATTAAAGCTTTAAAAATATGTTCACGGGCAGATTAAGTGTGTGCTGCTGGGGCAGAATCAGATGGCATTTTTTTTGGAAAGACTTGTACTAACCGGTGGAACACTCGCTTCTTGTGTGCTTTATAAAGGATATTGACTTTTCTGTCCTCACTCTTATATTTTATACTTTGTGTCTCGTGCTTGGGAAAGATAAAGCAAACCCATAGCCCAGTTCTTATACTTCAGCACTGACCTGAAGGTCCAAGAATTCTAGGATGTCACCTAAATTATACGCAAGTTAAAGTTAGGACTGTGGTAGGTACTAAAATGTCCTCTGTCTATGGTTTCTAATGCTGCATTAAGAGTCCAAGCTGTCTACCACCTCATCCACATAACTTTTCAAAGTATCTTCTGTTGTCTAACCTCTGGCCAACAGCCGCTCTCTAGCTGTTAGTTAGCCCACCTAGCAATGTGTTACAAAATAGCTCGTCAGGGTCTGCAGCCTTGGAACAGATTAGTCCTCACCCAAGGCTCAGTGATTTCCGTGCATGACTCCCAAATCGGCCTTGCTACCTCATGTCAGTGCAGAGCAGAGATACCAAAATGGGATTAAATGGTGCAGATTTCCTGGGGGAAGTGTTTGCGGAGAAGAAGGAAGGAAGGAAGGAACAGACGTGCACAGGGGAGAGCCATCAGATCACGGCGCAGGTCTGACGTGAGAGGGGAGTGGGTTGGCTTCAGCGGGCGGCCCTGGGGGAGACATGGCTTCCGAGGGCCAGGTGGGAGCCGACGGGCGGCTGTGGTCCCAGCGGCAGGCTCCCTCAGGCTGAACAGCACACCTCTGCAGCCAGCGTGTCCTGCCGCAGAATAATCTGCACGAAGAAGATGTTTGACCTTTGCGGATTTACACCGCCACCCAACCTATATTTTCTATCTCAGTTTATGGCGACTTCATTCCCTGGCTACTCAGAAATCTGGAATCAGCCTACTCTTTCCTCATACCCTTCATCTCTGTATCCCATCAATTTTACCAACTCCTGCTTCCCGACTCCTCATGGCCCCTGGCGGCATCAGTCACCTCGTTTCAGGTGTTTATTCCTTCTCTTAACTGGCGTAGCTGTCTTCCGCCTGGCTGCCCCTCCTCTAGGCCAGCTCCCCTTCCTTCTCTTCTGTACATCCGTCTTTATAGCTGCAGGATCTTTTCAAAAATTCAAATCTTGTCACATTTGCCTTGTGCTTAAAATTCCTCAGTGCCTCATTCTTTCCAACAGGACAAAATCAAGACATGACCTAAGAATTTTATATCATTCTCTATCCTCCACTCATCCTACATTTCAGTCCTCAGAGTTTCCTACATTGGAAAATTGGTCAAGAGTCTTGGCCAGTGGGCTTTTCGCACATGTTGTTTTCTCTGTATGACCTGTCTTGCCCTCTCTCATTTGACTCTGGGACTCATCATCATCAGGGCTCGGGTCCTGCTTTCCTGAACTTTCTCTTTCCATTTTTGAGTGAACTAGTTAGCTCTCTGTTATAACATGTATATGTTGCCCTATCTTTATATTCATAGTGCCCAGGTTCTCAAAAAAATGAGTGAATGAATGAATTAGCTATAACTGAGGCTATTGGCTGGACTTATAATTTTCTCATTAGGAGTGATCTTGTTACTGGTCCCCAGTTGGTTGATTCTTTTCAGAACCAAGTGTTCTGTATTATGTAGGGACATCAGGTGAAAACTTTCCACAAGCATCTTTATAAATCTTTCCAGAGGTGGATCAGTGGCTTTCAGAAGCCATATTACCTTAGTATATAAAGAAGAAAGTTTTAGTAATTTTATTGCTGTTTAGGGGACATATCAAACTATAGTCTGAGGCTATAGGGGGGTTTTTTGTTTTTGTTTTTTTTAGTAGGTGGAGTACAACCACACAAATAATTACTAATGTGAGAAATCATTCATTAACGTTTTAGGTGTTTGAAAAGCAGTCTGAACAACGATTTGCTAGGACTGGTACATCCTCCACATATTGAATGAACATAACTCTTAAATAACAGTCCGCCTCAGACATCTTCAGAACACAAGTGTGAGTGTCAAGTTCGCAGGTCCACTGCGGCCCTCGAGGGGAGGGTCTGCTGCAACTCGTACATCTCACGAATTCACACTTGGCTCCTGGACCCAGTGTCACCGCCCTGGTGCCGCTCTTGTCACTTTTGCCAGGAGCATTGCTGCCGTGTTCTACAAATTAGCCTTCGCTGCTGCTGTCAGAGCTACATTTGCTCCTCTCAATTCCTGCCCTAACGCCTCACCAGAGGAGCACACGTTTGTTCCCTTTGTTCCCGCAAGTGCAATCCCAACCTGCTCCCTTAGGCTTATTTTCTACAACACCCCAACATGCACCTCGTACACCAACTCCAGGGGTCTGGGCGCTTCATCTCCCTTGACCTTGCTTCGTCCCTTCTCTGCCTGGCCACCTACCTCTTCCTTCCTCCTTGAGAACAGCTCCAGATTCACCCACTCCTGGTGCTTCCCAGAGCACTTTAGAAATGCTTTTTATTGTCCTTATCACACTTCATTCACATTCGTTTAGGTGTCTGTCCCTACAGTGAGCCCAGGAAGCAAATTTTGAGTACAGCTAATTTTGGTTCTTTTTTTCTTTCCCACTTGCATCCTGAACCATCTAGTAAAGGATGAATTGTCTTTCTTCTGTACATGTAACATCATTTGACCCACTTTATCATAGTGATGGCCTCTGTATATTCTTGAAACTAAGCAGAACTCCAGACAAAAAATATTTGTGAAATCTTCTCGCGGATTAGTTTTAACATCAGGCCCAGGACCTTGACATTGCTGAGGCATCCAGAATTCTATCTTTCAGGTTAGCCTGTGACCATTTGCTAATTGGAAAATAAAATCTTTAACATCTTTTTTTTTTGTTTTGTTTTTAATCTCTAGCTATTTCTAAAAAGCACATGACATTCATCTTTGAATAGAAGATGCAGTTGAATGACAAGGCTCTTTCATTTAGTGGAGGGGTTTTTACTTTAAATTTTGCTGACGGGTTTTCATGACAGCCCTCAAATGGAAGCTTAAATTCACCTGTCAGAGCTATTAAAGACATTTTTTTTCAGGGATGGGGAGGGTGTATTTCTGTGATCTGACCCTTCCATTTGTTATTGTTGTTATTGACCTTATAAGTATAAAAGAGAAGAATCTAGACAGAGCTTCTGTTTTTGAAGGCTTGCTGAAATCCAGTCTCTGAAGTGAATTCACTGTTAAATTTTCTTCTTAAGAGAAGCAGCATCATAATGTAGCAGAATCCTGCTAATTTTCACTTCATACTTGAAACACCTTTAATTCTCAGGAGAACAAGAGCACCTGGTAGATTTTATTCACTGTCAGCAAAGATTTTAATAGCAGAAAAATGGTGTTTAAGACTTTTTTGTATCAAAGAGCATTAAAATAGATAAGCCCAAAATAGCAACATAGTTAATTGTAATA